GTTTCTTATCTTAGTTAGTCATGTTAAGAATTTCAGGAGTGAGAAAAAAATTAAAAAATTTAAAATTTATTCAAAATTTTAATTTTTAATTTAATGTGGATCAAATTTTTTATTTATTTTGAATTAAGATTTGATATTAAATATACATATTAAATTTAGATTGAGTTGTCAAACATAAAAAAAAAAAAAAAATTTGAAACGAATTGTATATTTTTATTAGCTTTTATTATATATAATTTTTTATAAAATAAAAATAATTATTTTATATATAAATATATTAAAAATTTTATTAAAATAATATATATGTAAAATAAAAAATAAAGTTTAAAAACCTATGAAGCAAACGAGCTGATAGAATTCTATTAAACTCGGATCAATTTAAAAAAAAATTGATATGAATTTAAATTAAATTTTAAAAATTTATAAACTGAACATTATTAAAAAAATTAAATTGAATCCGATTGAAATCATTATCATTTTTAAAAATTTTTAATTTTAGAATTTGATTGGACTCAACGTTTGATTATACTAAGGATAGCTATTTTTTTTTTTTAATTTATATTTTGTTTTGGTACTTACCTATGAAGAAATCAAAGAGTATAGAGGGAATCCGAAAATTAGACCGGTAGGCATCAGCTCTGTTAAAGAGGAGTTATAACAATATTAAATTCGTGATATCAAAATTTATTAGGCTAAACTTTTTAATTTAGAATTGACAGAAATTGAATTTTGATATTGGAATAGAAATTTTGAGATATTCAAATAGAAAATTTCACTTTGAATATACATTCAACATTTGAATTTGAGATATTCAAATAGAAATTTTCAAATATTTCTAAATAGTGTTGAAATAATATATCTTTATGCGGTCAAAAAATATATATTTTTTCAGTCTCACTCTTGTTTACTTCTTATTTTATGCAATTTTGTTGTTTTGATAGCTACTAATGAAATTTAATTCATGAATTGTCAACTGTTGGATCATTGAATCTTGGAGGAAAAAAAAAAAAAAAAGAAGAGATCATGCCTCATATTTAGGTAACTATGACATCACACTAATTCATTGCTACTACAATTTCCATTGAAAGTCAAAAGATATTAATCAATGAAATATATAAAATAGATAAAATGAAAATTATTTTGTAATTTTCACCGAATTCATTAACTCATTGATTATTTGATAGTGAAATATATATTGCATTTTATTTACCTAATTAAGAACAAAAGAAAACAAAAAAATCATAATCACAAAATGTAACAAAGTCAAAATCCAACTGTTAAAGCGAAATGGGAAAAGTTGACCAAACGCACTTGTAGAAGAAAAGTCAATTTTTTTTTGGTCAGATGCCCATTTATTTCATCATAAAATTTTTATTTTTTTAATATAAAAAAATCAATGCCTCAAAAATTAGAGAAAAAAATTATAAATGTTAAATTTTTTTTTTTTTTTTTGGTTCATAAGAGAGTAAAGCTTTTACAAGAGAAAAAGGAAATAACAGAGTTAAAACTCGTGATCATATGCCTTCTTCAAAGCCTATTAGCCACTAGTTCAAGTCTATCTCTTAAAAAAAAAATGAAATATTTGGATTAAATTCATGTTAAAATTTTCATACATTTGACAACAATGATTTTGTCAAGAATTTAATTTTGTATCCATCCTTCACTTTACTCAACAAAAGCAGCTGTTTTCTAAAATTGCCAAATGAAAATGACACGACAAAGGCAACGATTTTTCAAAGAGACGTAGTTGGATTTTTTTGACTCGTTTAAATTTGTGGTTAAGGGGATGAAAATGAAATATTAGGTAAAAATTTTAGGTTTAAACACTTTGAACCACGACATGACACCCTCTTATAATTCTTTTAAGCAGGGATTATTAATAAATTTTTAATATAATTTTTTAATCAAATGAAAATATTTATTAATTTAATTGATTCATGTAATTATTTAAATTTAAATTTCAACTTTTATAATTTGTTCTTTACAAATTATAATTTTTTTTATAAAAAAAAAACATTGAATAAGTACTCCGTTAGGCCATCGTATGAAAGAAAGAACCAAAAATAATATGACAATGTACGGATGAATTTTTCAACAATAATAATAATAAAAAAAAGGGAGACAAAACTGAAACACCTTGTATGCATCAAAACATGAGATCACTAAGGTATAGAAAATTTTGTTTTCATGTGTAATTAGTTTGGGTTACAAACGAATAGCATTACTTTTCTTGTCTCAACTCAATCATGCATATATTTTTGACGAAATAATTTAATTGCAATTCTAATTTGATAACATTATGGCTTGGCAAGCGATGACATAGGAATTGCGGTATTCGTTTCGGTCGATTCGATTAAATTTAAATTAATTGAATTATATTATTTTATTTTTATTAATTGAATGAAATTTTATGAATTTTAAAGATTAATTGATCGAATTTCATTTGATTAGTTTAGTGAATCTTTTTGATTAATTAAATAATAAATATATTTTAAATAAATTATATTTTAAACTTTTAATTTGTCATATTTTTAAACAAATTAGATAAAATTATTCAATAAAATATTTAAATATCAAAGTATTATATTAAAAACTTTAATAAATTATGAAATTAAATGATCACTTTTATATATTTTCATTTTTTATTTGGATTATTTAATATTTCAATTAAATTTTTAATTTTAAATTTAATTAATTAAAAATTAAAATTATTTTAAAATTATTTTTTAATTAATCAAAATTAATTCGATGATTTACTGATTAACCGATTTAGAATGGTGGCCATGTATGATGTTATATATATAGGCAGGCATTGAAACGATTGATACAAGGAACTGGGATCCATGAATTTGCTGGATGCATGTTTCTATTTCCAGGTAATGTTGAACTTACATGGAATGACAAATCACATGGCTAATTGCTTGTCAATTAATTTGCTGTACATTTAAAGACATTTTCCCTTACTTTCAGGATTTTTGCTTTGTCAATAGCTATAAATGGGACGTGTGTTCCTCTCATTGTGATTTCCAAAACTAATAATTTTAACATATTTATCACATCTCATGCTTCATGATATTATAAATGATTTTGACATTGAATCTTATTGATAAAAAATAAAAATGTTCATGGATTGAATACTTAAGCTCAATTGGCATTTTAAAATATCTCGATCTTCTCGTTTATGTTAATCATATAATATTATTAAAACATTTAAAAATGTGTTTTATAATTTTTAATTTATTTAAAATTAAAATTTAATTTATAGTCTGTCCTCCATTTCCATTTAATTAATCTTTGGGTTTCAAAAGATTGAAGGGTGGTTATAGGAACTGAATCATAGTGATAGAAGGTGAGGAGATTTGTTAAGAAGCTGTTGTCTCTCCTTTTCCATCTGGGGTCATACCTAAATGAGCTCCAGCTTTCCCCAACCCCAATTATTAAATGAATACTTTTTCATGATATATAAATGATCATAATTTAAAAATAAAAAAATTTCAAAATTTAAACTTACTGAATATAATTAAATATAAAATTTTTTTTTTTTCCATATTTACTTACATTCTTAATTGCAACAAAAGATCAAATGCAATACGAGTTCTTTTTTAAGTCGTGGCAAGAAACAAGTCTGTGGGTATTTTATATAGAAAATACAAATATATTAGAAAAACAATTTCCTTGAACATATATATTATTTATTTTGCAAGCTAAGTTGCTAACTGAATTTGATTTGTTAGGTTCAATAACAGATGGCATATATATATATACGATGACCAAAAATTCACATGTATCATCGTCAATTCAACCAGAGAATCCTATCAACCAAACCAAACGAATATAATAATGTTTAGCTGATCAGCTGATCAGTTGTATTATATTGTTGTATCTTTGTACTAAGTTATTTAATTTTCAAGCAGATATATTAATGCATTTATTTTTTATATTTATAATTTGGAGATAATTAAAAAAAATTCAAAATTTTAAATATATTAAATATCATATCTAAAAAATATTATATAAATCAATTAAATTAAAATTTGAATTTATATAAATACACTCGATGAACCCAAATAAATCTTTAAAAGGTACTTGGCTTTGTGCTTTTTTTTTTTTAATGTTTGTAAAAATCTTAATATTTAAATTTAATAAAAAAATTATTATTATTAATCTTAAAAGGTTCTTAGCATTTAGCCATTCTTTTAAACGTCCATAAAATACATTTGAATATTTAATTTAAGGATAAATACAAGTATTTTATATGAAAAAGTTAAGTTAATATTTTTCTTTCTCATATGAATAGATATTAACAAATAACAATGCATATATCTAATTCGAAGAAGGGAATAATTATATCACATAAATCATAAAAAAGAATTAGATAGTTACCACAATTAATGTGCTTGTCTTAAATTTTTTTTAGTATCAATTACTATATTATCTTGTCTTTGAATGTGGGTTAGGTAAATTTATTAGATTATTATGGATTTTACTTGCTTCTCATAATGTTTGTCTGTGATTTATGAGTCTAATACAAAAAAAAAAAAAGATATGATTTTTTTATGAGAAACATATTTTTTTAAAGATAATTATATTTTAAAGATATAATAAAACTGCAAAAATTTTTAATTAAAAATAATAAAAATGATTATATTAAAAAAATTATTTATAATAATCAAATAAATATAAAATTTTATTCAAATGATTATGATTTTTTGTGTAATTATAATTTTTATGAATAATAATTTTTTTATATTTAAATAATTATAATTATTTATTATATGATAATTATTTTTATTTAAATATAATTATTTTAATAATTAAAATTTTTATTTAATATAAAATACATTACATTCTAATTTATCCTCGGAAAACTCCCTATTTTCTTGAAGCTGCAAATAAAATACTACAAAATCAACGTTTTGTACTTTTTATTTGGAGTTTTTTATTTTATTTTAACTCAAATACAAATAGTAATAAAAACAAAAAAAGCAAGCAAGCAAGTACTAGTCAACAACGTTGAAACTCTCCCTCCAAAAAGCAATTTATCTCTCTCTCTCTCTCTCTCTCTATCAATTTTCCACCATCAGGAAAAGCTTTCTTTCGTTTATATAAACCTTCTCAATTCCACCGTCGTCTCTCAAACCTTCCCTCTTTTGTCTACGTTTTCTACGTTTTTTTTTTGCCCTTTGTTCGTGCGATGCCACAGGGCAATTTAGAAACCCTTGTTTCTGCCTGGGCCGGCGGTTCTTGCGACAACAAAATCGTCTGCGAGACTTTAGCAACCACCGAGGGCCGCGCCTACGACGACCAACTCCACACGGTGGAGAAACCTGGCGAAGAAGAAATACCGCCGGATTTCCCGCCAGAATCGTTTTGGTTATCGAAAGACGACGAGCTCGACTGGTTCGATCGCAACGCTTTTTATGAACGGAAAGAGTCGCATAAAGGAAACTCAGCTTCGAACTCAACAAATCTTAATCCTAATCTGATCCCAAATTCCAATTCTCAGCGCTTTTCTTTGAGAAAATCTAAAGCTTCGATCATCAGATTACCGAAACCGCAGAAATCTTGCTTTGCTGAAACGAAGAACAGGAAGAATTCTAAGCCTGGAAACACTAGATTGTTTCCTAAACGGTCGGGCTCCGTTAAATCGGATCGGCCAGTTGTTGAACCGTCTTCGCCTAAGGTTTCTTGTATGGGAAGAGTGAGATCGAAGCGAGACCCGAATCGCCGACTAAAAAAGAACCACGAAAAATCCATCGAAATCGAAGCTGTTAAAGAGAAAACGACAAGTAAAAGAAGCAGTTTCTTTTCCAGTTTTCGTGCTATTTTTTGGTCCAATGGGAAAGCACGTGAACCACACGCTCTTCCAGTTGCGCCATCACCGCCAAGGAACAGCGACATTAGGTCTCGTTTGCCACCCGATGATCGTGACGCAATATTGATAGAACCTGAAATTGCGGAGAGTGAACCGATTGTTGAGCCGGTCAGTTTAGGTGGTATGAAGCGGTTCGCGTCTGGTAGGAGATCGGAGCCGTTAATCTAAACCGTGGGGGATAACGTTTCTCTAGTGGTGGGCCATAGCCCAGGCTTGGGTTGGACTGCCGTCGTGGTTGGGTAACTTGCAAATCCCCCGTCTAATGTTTATTTCCTTCCCTCGGTGTCTCGGCGTGATTATCAACGGCTTGGGAAGGTGAAAAAAACACAAATTTCCAATTTCGACTTTTTTTTTTTTTAATTTTGACTTGGTTTTACTTGATAACGATTTGTAGATATCGAGTGATTTTGGAGTGGGCAGTTTGTAAATTTTGTCGTTATTTCAATAAAATTTCAAAAGGGACATGTAAATTTCATATTATTATATGATTTTTCGATCATTTAGCTTAAAGTTTAAGCATAATTATTTATGAAAAATGTTTTAAAAATTAAATTGACAAAAGTTTAAGTTGATTATACTTTTTAATTGAACTTTATAAGAAGTGAAATTTCATTTATGACGAAAAAAAAGCATGAATTTAGGAAATTTATGAGACCAACATTCATCAAAGATTTAAGGTAATAATAACGATAAAATTAATTAATTTAATAATAAGATTAAATTTAATGATAAAATAAAAATATAAATATAATAATAATGATAAAATTGAATATAATCATAAATTGTTTCATTACAAATAGTCGATTGTTTCACCGTGCAGAACTCAACTGTTTTACTTCTTTAGGTGATGAAGCACTTTTGTTAAGTGCAAAAGTGTTTAACGTAACAGCTAAAAAGATTACAAAAATATTTGGGTTGATGTTCATAAGGATTAATTCACGGAATAAAAAAAAACTTTATATGAAATTTTATAAGTGAAATTTATGAAATTTTTTATTAAAAATGAATAAATAAAAATTAAAATAAAAAATTAAAATCGATATATTAAAAATTTATAAATTTCATCTATAAAATAAGTTTTACTCTCGCAAAATTGGGTGAACTGCCTAATGGAGAACGCATCATATTCATCTAATCTGTTTGGAGGGAGGGATGGGTCAAAAAATTCCCTTCACTGCCTTTTTCTGTTAAAATATTCCTTTCCTTTGAAGTGTTCAAAATCACAAGTCCTTGAAATTCAAATTTTTTTTTTAATTCGGATTTGTTTGCGGGGTCTAAGTTAAGCAGTCCCTGTTTGGAAATTGGTGACAACTTGACAGCTAATGTGAATGGTATTAGGTTTAGAATCTTGACTATTTTAATTGTCTTATAGTCTCAATTTTTTTTCACTTGTTTTTTTTTGTTTTTTGGTTAGTAAGGAACAGAACTCTATATTAGAAAAGAAGAAAGAAGGTTGAAGTTTGAATCTCGAAATTAATATCTTTTTTAAAATTATTTTGATTACTAAATCAAATAATTTTTTAAACTTTGAAAATGACTACCTCACCGATCATCCCATTTCATGTAAAATTATAGCAGCCAAATACTCTAAATTTCTTCTAATTTTTTCTGCAAAATATGCTTCATATTGTAGTGCATTTTCACTGCTTCAACCCCTCAACACATGAAAGTGTTTCAACCCTGTAAGAATTTCATTTTGCAATATTGAGTAAACAAATCAAATCTGTTTTTGGGTTGATATAGATTTTTTTACAAAAAATTGTAATTTGATAATTAAAAAAATTATCAATATTGATATTTGATTTACAAATTTGTTAAATGTCATCTTTTTAAAGTTGAATTAAATTTCCCAATCCATTGTCCCATGTATTTTATAATATGGTTGGAACTGTATTGTCTTCCATTACATCACAAATATTCAAGTAAGGACAAAATCTGGACTGGTTCCTATTTTCAAGCCTGAAATTTCGGACAAATATTTTTAGATCCAATTAGGTGCTGATACGGTCATTCAGTGTAAAATTTTGATAATAATGGATAAAAGAAAGCAAATTTTCTTTGTCTATCATCCACTATAAAAGAAAAAATTCTGATATGCGGGCTTGAACTCAGCACTTTGTAAAACACAACATATTATGTTTTTAACTGGTAAAATCTAAGTACATGGTAAAAGTTAATAAAGCACAACAACAAAATTCTCTCCCCCCTGTTTGCACATAATTTCACTGATGATGATACCAGTTTTAGCCAATAAGCTCATCATACACCTCAATCTTTCTGCCATTCAGTGGCTGACAAGGCCTTGCATTTTTCTTGCAATCTGAGTTCACTGGAATTTCCAGTGCGGCTATCTGCTCTTTCGAAATCGATCTCACCTGCAGAATTTTTTTTCTTAGCCATTTCCAGTGTATCTATATATAATTTCTACAGGAAAACATACCTTTCCGAGGATGTTCCATGTGACATTCCCCGAGCATGGAGGAGTGGTAAGAGAACCAACATATCTGTAGTACTTGCGGCTACTTCGCTTCAATTGCTTGATATCCAAGGTACCAATGGGAATTTCAGCTATTTCATCAGCTTTGCATTTCTCCTTGGCCAATTCATTCAAACCATTCATAATCTGAAATCATAAATTTCAACATAGACTTAATATCCCATTCTTTAGTTTGAGTTCTGAGTTGGAAAAAATCAGAAGCAGCTTGTCCTGAAGTAAGGAATGAATTTCATTCCTTCGCTTGAAGTTTTGAAGCTTCCTTGACGTTTTTGTAAGATTTTCTCCTCAAAAGGAGCAGTAAAGCGTTGGCGGGTGTGAAGAGAACTTTACCTTGGCGACGAATGGATCGGTATCATTTTGTTGGTAGAGTATAGCTACAACTGCAATGCTGTGATCTGCTGCGCTGTGGACCAAATGAAGCTCAGCAGCAAATCTGTATCAATGAAAGTGTCAATGTAATTCAACTTGTCGCCATATCAAATATATTCCAATGTTGGGAAAGGCTAAGAATTTGGGTAAAGATCTTAAATTCTATTATTAAACCAAAAGAAAAGAAAAAGGACAATGATGTTATCGAATATTCCTGTTAGTAAAATGTTGAATTGATCAAAGTTCAATTTCGGATAATTTTAAGTAAAAAAAAAATTGTTGTTAGAATTGAACAGCAGGGAGATTGGATCAGAAACTGTTCACTTGTCCAGGACAAAACAATTAATGAAAGTAGAAGTGGTCAAAATAAGATTAAAACAAACTACAAACTGATCAAACCAATAATTGTTGAAGCTGGTTAGACTGGTTCTGTTTAATTAAAATTTGTTTTAAAATTCTTTTTTCTCCTTAAAATTTTTTGTAAGTAGTAAAAATCAAAATTCTAACTTCTTCATGATTAAAGAAAACTCAAATCTCTTATTAACAAATAAATATAAATATTGCTATATAATCTGATTAAAATTATGAATGAACCATTTTTATTGTGGGTGAGAGGGCTGATTTGCATGAGCTAGGCCCTTGTTTTTTGGGTGGGTGGGGGGGGGGGGAAGAGTCCATGAAAGTGAATTGGCCTCGATAATGCAGCAACTTGAGGCCCAGAATAAAATTGGAGCAACCCCAATTCATAAGTATTCACAGACAGAGAAAGAGAGTGCATACTGTTCTCCATCAATTAGGTGCTCAGATGGTACATGCCAGTGCATTTGCCGTAGTTCGTAGTTTTTGCCATCTATGGATACCTCTCCGGCATATTCCTCGAAATGCAACTGCAATCAGAATTCATGAAGCCAGCAAATTAATTAGCATTTATAACTTAAACATGATAAAAAATGATATAATTTAAATTTTTAATAAAAATTGAATATAAATTTTGTAAATTTTAAAAAATATGATTTGTGTTTGGGGACTCGAATAGTAATATAATAATTTTTATATCATAGATATATATATTTGATATAAAATAATCAGACAAAAACATAGGAATTGCCAAAATGGATGTTAAATTGTTCATTCTTTTGTGTGTAATGTTCTAACAAAGCGAAATGAAATAGGAAGTTTGGCAACCAACCCCAACATTGAAGCCATTGTTTACGAGGGTAGCATTTGCAGGTTTATAATTCCTGGTTAAAGGTTTCAATAGTTTGTTATGGACAGTCAGATTCTTCAGAATGTTTATAGGAGACTGCGTTTTCCCGGATGAGCATGGTGAGAATGTTGGATCCAAATTTCCCCACTTGTCAGGGCCATTGTTGTCAGAGTAACCGAACTTAATTGCACCAGGCACTAAAAATGAAAAATCAAGAACCGAGTCAGGGAAAAACACAGATCATTTCCAAATGACTTAGCAGCAAAACATGATCATACCATCACTTGCAGAAGCAATGCCGAGAAGCAAAGCAAGCGCGAAGACGAAGAAGGAGATTCGAGGGGCCATTGATAATGTGATGCCAACCTCGAGCTAGACACTGCACAATCTCTTCACCTTGAGAAAAAAATAACTGAAAGAAAACCTATATTACCCTATGTTTTATTGCTCAACTTGTGGTGGCTACGGTTGCGGTCCACCACAATATTGCTGTTATTTTTGAGACAGTATCAGCTAAACATAGCAGAGGTTTCTCGAGAGTTTTGGGGCACCTTGAATTTTCATCCTTTGTCTATTTATATTTGCAGTGAGTGATAATATCCGAATGTCATGTTCTGTTAAAAAAACTGAAGTCAAACCTTAAATTATTCATGGTTGAATCTTGTCTGTTATCAACTTTGGTGATTAGAGGTAAGAGGCCTTGATTAAATTATATAAGTGGGGAGAGAGAATGTATGGAATAAACATAAATAATTAAAAAGGTAAAATATTGTTTGGAGTCCGTTGATACAGTGTTTGATTGTTAATTTCAGTAATCAGATAATTGAATCCTAATAATCACTGATTTCAAAACAACCAACGGCCATGGAATATTTTCACAGGGTTAAAGTGAGGGCATGTGACATTTGATGCAGAATCAGAGCAATTATTTTTGTTAAATTATGCGGAAGGTTCATGTATTTTATCAAAATTATAAATATAGTTTATATTGTAATTTATATAAGTTTAATTCTCATATTATTTTAATTTGATAATTTTAATTTAATCACTAATTTCGTCAAATTTTTATTGTTAAAATGCTGACAATCTTAATTACGAAATTAACTAGAGAGATTAAAGTTTAAATTTTGTGTGAATACAAAAATCATATATCTAATTTGATAATTAATTTTATTTATTTAAATTATCATATTAATAAAGTGAATATCACATTAATAAAATCAATATTTATGTCATCAAATCAACGATTACATTAACAATTTTAATAATAAAAAATTAATGAAATTAATGATTATCAAATCAAAATAATATAAAAACAAAATTTATATAAATTACAATACATAAATTAAATTCAAATTTTTGATGCAGTATAAAAATTTTTAACAAAATTTGACTGTTATTTTTTTGGTTTTTCAAAATGTCCCATAAAGAATTAGTATTTGTTAGGTCAGGCGTTAGGCAGCAGTAGATTGAACCCAATAATAGGCCTTTGAATATTGATTGATGATTTCACTGAACCATTTATTTTCGAAGACAAACAGCACTGACTAAAGTGGAAAAAAAAAAAAAGAAATTGCCACTATTGAGTCTGTTGCAGGAACCAGAAAGGTTGACATCCATTCTGACCACAAATCTTACGATTTTGTGTAGGCAGGCAACTTTTCTCTGTTGGAAAGCCTCACTTTTGATAAACCAGAGAGTTTCACTTGCTCAAAAGTTAGGTTGCCATTTTTGTTTTGAGAGGAAAAGTTGCCACTACTGAGTTGGTCCTTGGCTTTGGAAGAAGCATGTATGATTCATGAAAACAATCAAAGATAGATCAATTGCAGAGTTCCAAAAGAAAAAAAAAAAATCCACCTGACCAGTACCAGAAATAAAATGTTTGGCAAACACATTGGTAACAACAATTATTTAATGGATCAAACTCTAATTTTGGTTTCAGCTTCTTAACAGTTTTAAGTATTTTTTCCTCCACTATCTGTATAAAAGATGGCCTGGCCTTCACTAGAGTTGGAGAGCAGGTATCCCTAGGTCAAAAGGAGAACTTTCACCCCCAACTCAACAAAAACTGCCTTACAATAAAAACTCACACGGTGATAAAATATAAAAACGATATAATAAAAAATATAGACACGATATAAAAATGATATAAATAAAAAATATAAAAATAATATAATTTAAATTTTTTTAAAAATATCATAAATAAATCTAATAAAATAAAAAATTATATTTAATTTATTTAATGTCGATACAAATTGTGATATATAATTTTTATTAAAAACATAATATGAATAAAGTATTTTACATGATGAGATGACACGAATTATCATATCTATTAAAAACGATACTTAGAATGTGACAAAGTGAATAAGGTACAATGATACAATACAAAAACAACACAAAATTAATCATATGTTTTTTATAATTGCATTTCATATTTTAATCATGTCAATACATTTAAAACACGATATTACATATGTCATATTTCATTTCATATCTTACGCATATTACACATTACACGACTAATTAATTGTGTTTTAATTGTATTATCGTATCCACATATGTAAATAACACGTTTATAATACGCATATAATTGTATTTTAATATTTTTATTATATTATTAATTTAATTTTGAATTGTTTATTAGATATTTTAGTATTAATTATATTTAATAATATATAATTATGTTAATAGTATAGTGTCATGTTACTCAATTCTAAAACGGATTAAAACGTGTTAGTTGTAACATGTATAATAAATGTGTCATATTTTTATTTTGATTATTCGTATCATTTAATATTCGTAGGTGGGGGTGGGGGTGGGGAGAGCCAAATACTAACTCCCCCTGGTATATACATGGTTTCATTCCAAGTGGATGGAATCATGGAACCTACCAATAGACAAGTTAAAACAATCTTTTAAATGAGAGTTTAGGGATAAGCTCATGATGAAGAAATGCTCAAAGCTGAAACCAAAACCTACTTGCATGTGATTGTCAAGATTAAAAATCTTTTGGAATCTGTGGGTTGCTACATCCAAATAAAGAACATAATGCCTGTTTCCAAACTGAAAAGCCAGAAATAGTTTTCACTTGTAACAGGCATTACAAAAGACAAACATCCAGCTGCTACAAAGAACAAAAGCCAAAGAACATCTGCCAAATTGGTCTGAATTTAAAAAGGGTAACCGGGCCAGCTTCACAGTACATAGGAAATATAATATCTGTAACTCAAAGCTTGCATTAAATTTGGCACACGATTCAAGGGAAACAGAATATTAAACAATGGCATTGAGTATTTGAAAAAGAGCTTTCAAAGAGAAACAAATGAAAATGAGAACCTGCATCATACCATTACTAAGGTGCAAAACTATAATTTAAACCATTTATGAAGAAAGATAAATGGGGAGCTCTGGCTTTAGTGTGCAATTGAATTGTTATAGATGAGCAGGAGAACACCTCAAAACAGCTAAAATCTAAAGTTATGGTACCATTTCTGAGTCCATGCACCATGATTAAGATTGAAGGCGACATGACCAAGTTTTGTCTCCTTTTCGAAGAAGTCGGCCTAAAGGCTCAGGATCAGATTCCATTTCCAGGTCCACAATGCATTATAAGAAGCTATCTCGGGTCAATGAAGGGTGAGAGACAATGGTATGCTCATCAATGGACAATTGACTCTCGGAATGCCACAGAGAATGGTGATAAGAGTAGAAGCTAAGCTACATTATTTGTTGACAACTCTTTTCACCAGAACTTCAAAGCAGATAATAAGGATTCTTTATTAAAGGTTACAAGGTTAACATATGCATATGCTTTCACCTCCACGATGTGAGGACCATATGTAGAATAAACTGATACATTTTGATACGAATTATAATATAGATGGAACAACTGTTCCGACATATCTTATATTGATATTTAGGAATATCAGTCTCGAGAATTGTTATGCGACTGACTTATTCGTCGGAGTGCACACTAGAGTACAAATTTTGGTGTCCTTTATACATATTTTTACTACTAAAAGCTCAAGGAATATCAATGGATGGCACTGTTAATTCTATTGGATTTGATAGCTGTAATTACTGATTTGGAAGAAAAAAGTCGCCTTCCATCTATAAATCTCAAGCACCTAATTTTTCTGTAATTTAAAAATTACATTCTTTTAAATTAATATTTTACTATGTAATTGCAATTAAAAGCTTTAAATAACAATATTTATTATGAATATTAATATGCAAAGGCATATTCAGTGCCACATTAAAGCACCTTTTCATTTGAAAGAAAAAATAATTAAAAAATAGGTAGGAATATGTATAACATAAGATCAGAAGGAAAACCTACCTGGGAAGGTTTTTATTATTACTGTGCATAGGTAGCCCTTAAGTATTCTGCTATTTTTGCATTTTCAAACATTTGCACTCCAGTGTTTGGATCTTCCAAATGAGGTACCTGTCAGCCATTTTTGTAGAAAATACCATTCTCTTTACCATTTGTGGCCCAATTACGCAGCAAGTAAGAATGAATTTTATAGATGTGGAAAACTTGTCCGGAAAAGTACTAATATACCTGAAATTGTCTAGCTTTCTCACAGAGGATCTGCCGTTTTGGGCTGCCTCGAGGACAACTGATAGAAGAGAGAATAAGAACTAGTAAAAATTGTCTCAGTAGCACGTCTCGGTGAACCCCTTGAATGCATAAAAGAAGACGATCAATCAAATCCTTACAAAAAAGATGGAAATCTTTTCAACCATTGAAAATGATAAGGATGACTAAGATAACCATTCATACTGCAAAGAGTTTTGACTCATGGAAACTTAGTAGACAACACATGCTCGATATATCTTAGCTTATTCAAAACTTTTTGGTGCATATGCAAGTGCAAGTATAGATAGGTTTCTCAATTCTTTACAAGACTTGTATGAAATCGTAACCATGAATATGAAGCTGAATATTTGGCAATTGCATGTTGAACAAATGACTCAAACACCTAAAATCCTGACGTTATTAAAATTAGAGAGTGCATGTAACCAAATATAGTTGAATGTTAATGGACCATTAACATACAAGCAAAGAGGATGCTTTAATGAAATTGACCTAATTAAGCAGAGTGATTATTTAGACTTTACCTGCGTTGAATGTGTGGTAACTCTAATTCCACCAGCACTTCTCACACAATCTTACAGAATGGGGAGCCCTAAAAGGAAAATAAAAACATTTTAAGGTCAAAACTTGTATACACATTTAAACTATAACAACTTTTTACACATATATTGTTGGGAGATCATAGTTGCCTCACATTTTGGAGAAGGAATCTAAACTGCTGAACATAAATATCTTCAAAAATCAAGATTTTTAATATTGTATTACCTCAAATGACCATATCTCAAGCAGTTTGGGAGGCAAGTTCGATGGAGTGTAGGAAGTTCCCTGCATAAAATACGATAGGGTTTAGGGTGTCCTTGTAGCATTTTCCAGAAAGCAGCAAATGTATGCAGTAAAATTTAGCAAAATTCCTTTAGGGTATAAACATGTCAATAATGCAAAAAAAGAGGAAAAATAAGAAAGAGAAAGAGCTTTCACAAAGAATTTCATATCTGTTTTACCTTTCCCATGCAACCAATCATGGCAAGGCCTTCGGTCAATGTCTGCAATACAAGAAAATTTTAGGAATGTTTCATAGAGAAACAAAAAATAATTATCTCATAGAAAAAAGAACAATTATTATAAAAAATGCCAACCGTCAGTGGACCAATTGATAGCATGAAAGGAACACTTCCATCACCTAAAACAAGATAGAGCAGGGTAGATGAGTAGGTGATCGTAGCAAAATAAGTTACTGGCAAAAAACTACAATGATAGTTGAAAACTTTGAGTTATCTTAGATACGCATCAACCAAGAGGAGGTAGTAATAAAAAAATGTTACACAAGCAGCTCTTAACCTAGAAAAAGTAAGGAAACGCATCATATTTTCTAAGAGGCCAATTTTGAAAGCAGAAAGCAACTATATCACTATATGGAAGACTAAATGTATGCATCTAGTATTGATATATCCACAAATATGATATGTAGAAAAAAAGGGACAAAAAAAGAAAGATAGCAATAGTATGTTGATGTAACATGTACCATATTTTCCAACCAGATACTTTATTATTTCATCTGATTCATACATAGCAACTTCTGTATTTGGATCCACTTGAAACCAGAAACAAAGCATTAAGTCGAACTCCCAACATCACTCTTTTTTAATGTCAATTCAAATGCTTAAATAAAGAAAGTATAAATCTCAAGAACCAAACGAGGGGGAAAAGTGAAGGATAAGGAATAACTAAGCAAGAAGCTGTGGAGTGTGGACCAAAGGAAAAAAATGATATCTAACCATGTATGGAAACTGCTGCTTTCCACCCATCTGAGCAACCTTGGGTGAAAAATTTGGACCATTTTGGGGCAAGGGTAAAACAAAACATCAAGATCCAAAACTGAAACAATTTCCCTAACCTGTGTATGATCACAATGTCAGTCTAAAACATGAAGAAGTTCATGAAATATGATTTTAGTCATATGTCAGAGGAAAACAGTGAAGTTCCTTGTGGACCTTATATATCATGCTTAGTGGCTCTAGTTCCATCTAAAGATTTATAAGGAAAATATTAGAAGAATAACTCAATAGAGGTCCTCTTGGGGGAAGTATGGCTATCACCAATTAGAACCACAAATGGTATGTCTCAAAAACTAAATGTTGATGCCTGTGATCTTCCTGTCATGTTAAATGGGTCCACTCTATACAGAAATACATTGAAGTTGGTATTTCCACAAAAACGGCAGCATGGTCATGTCTAGGTAGTGTAAGATAGTGTCCAATGGGACATTTGCTCGTTAATTTATCTTCGTAAAGGTAGCAAGAAAACTCAATTATAGAATGCAAGAGAAGTAAAAAAAGTGTGAATGGAAGCAATTATTTACTACCTTTCGACAAAATGGACAACTGGAGTTGCATTCAGTCCACCATTATCCATAATTTAAAAGAGAAAAAAAAAAAAAGGAAACACACAGGGTCAATCTTTTCTTCATCAGAAATGAAACATGAAAAAGTAAAGGGAAAAATAAGGGTAAAAAGGCTATACATATTGAAGAATAATGAAAGCCGGCAATTAGCACAAGCAACAAACCAGGGAAAGAGATAAAGAAAAGGAAATTTGAGTACCCTTCAAACTCATATATCTCAATAGGCTTCTCTGGACGAGGGCCTATCTTTGATGTCTCTTTCAACTTATAGCCTGTTAAATATAGCTAACCGATCAACATTTAACAATGAAATTTGAATACTATTTAGACAAAATAAAGGCTCAACTATGAAATAAATGCTTTTCTTCCACTTTTTTCCTTGAATCTAGACATGCACCAGACTTTGACAAAATGATGCAGAGAAATAAGGAATGAAACAACAATTGATCCCATACCTCCTAGTTCTAAACAATATCGGCCAGGTGGAATCTCATTCTCAGAAACAAGAGATGCGGAATAGCTGCCACATTACAAGAAGATACAAGATTATTAGAAGAAACCTACAAAATCCAATGCCTTAAACGTAAATCATCAAGTGAAATGACACAAATACAGCCTATTCCACTAATTATTAGGAATGTAGTAGAGGGCTTCTTTTCTTTAATCAACCAGGTGCCTGTAAAGTAGCACTGAGTACATTTGCTAGTGGACATTAATTATCATTAACAAAATTTCCAAGGTGTATATAACCAAATATCCAGTTAAACAGTCCAAATGGATTGTTATAAACCTCAATTTATTGTTCATGCTTTAATTCTTCATAGCATACTCAAATTCATTTACAACAATGCCATCAGAGCTAACAATACCAATAATTAAGAAATAATTCAAATTCATCCCAGTTTCCTCATAACTAAAACTTCATTCCGTTTATTACCAACCCTTCAATTTTCTCATGACAAACAAGTAAGTCAAAAGAATCCCACCAAATTAAATAAACAAACAAAAGAAGAAAAGAAAAGAAATCTCCATACCCAGAAACAAAAACACCAGTTCCCCACCGGAAGAACAAGGCAAGAGTTGCCCCATAGATATCCCAAGTCTTATCTGGTCTAACTGCAAACCTCTTTGGCTCTGGTGGCTTGAAGTTTGGAGGAGGAGCAAATGCTGTGGTTGAAGAAGAAGCAAAGCTTGGTCTTTGCTCTTCCTTGGTACCGGTAGTAGCAGGAGTGGCTTGGGAGTTTGAGGATTCTGATGAGGCTTTAATAGAAATGAAGGGTGGACTTGATTGTATACGCAGGGAAAATGGCGAGATAAGTGGGAGTTTGGGGATGTTAAGGATTCCCACCATGGCCTTGGGTTGATTAAGGTTTTTGTTATGAGAGATTTGTGTGAAAGAATAGTTCCTGTCTTTGATTTTCTGTTTTACGTAGAAAAGTGGAATTCCTTGGTTGTCTTGTTCATGTTGGGACAGGTAAGATTGTGACAGCCGATAGGTAGTTAAAACTTAATTGTAAGCCACCCCAGAACCCAAATCTCGACGTCTGGTCTTCGTGCCACTCACCGTTCACCATCGTCCACAGCTGCTAATCGAAATCGGACTTTCTGTAAAAAGCAAATCGGATTTCATATGCAAGACACGGTTTTTGGTGAGAAAAAGAGGAGTATTCTTCCCCATTATGAAGGAACAAAAAATATTTGATCTGCTTGTTCTTTCTTAAGTCATACGTCTATGTCCAAGCTGAAAAATAACAAAAATTTTTTGTTTTATTTTATTAGAACTTGAGACCCATATTTGAAGAGTTCTTTCTCTTTCACTTACAGCTTGTCCAAATTTCCAATAAATTCTCTTCAACTTAATGGGATGAAATTTCCTTCATATAACATAGAAACACAAAATCAGAACATGAAATTGAATCTGTGAAATAACAAAGGCTTAATGTTTGTGAAGTGCATTTCATTAAAACAAATCAAGCCTCATCTGAAAATCGCGGGAAATATTCCTTGGCTTCCATAGTCAACTTCTGTAATACAACAAGGCAGAATGGCAGATGATCCTCCAAGCCAGGAAAGTGAAGTTCTAGGGGTAGCGATCTCCAAAGTGGGACAAATCAAGGGTTTGACTTGATTTGCTCTGGAGAGACAGAGTTTAGGCCATGTCTTAACCCACCTTAAGGGAGCACCTGCTAACTCGTGAAGAAGGGCTGGGGCTTGGCGCTACAAATCTCGTTTATGCCCCCTCCTGTTATTGTCATGCCAAGCAACAACATCACCATATGCTAAATTGCCCCCAAAAATATCCAAGGCACTTCCTACAGTAACATCCACATGTCCCTTCCCTGCTTCTTTGATCGTCTCTAAATCATCCATTAATGTGACACCACCCGCATAAGTGACAGGAATCTGCAAAACAAAGACCATACTATGTCAGCAAAATTTGCCAGAAATCTACCAGAGCCCCTGGGCATTTTACAATCACAAGATAGAAATAAGGAAAGCAAAATGCACTGAGGGACCAAATGAGGGACTAAAACACCGTCAAGGAAAAGTATTTGCTACCAACCGGAGAGTGCTCGCCCAGTAATGCCACAAGATCTTTGTCTATTCCCAGCCTGTTAACAAATAAACCATTGCAAGTTATAATACATGGGGAACTTGTCAATGCAGTGATAAGTAGCAATTAATAGAAGCTCTTAGAAGGATGGAGCTAGACAAAAGCAAGGCTGGTAGCAAGAATCAAGTCCACAGGTTATGACAACATTTATACTGAAAATTATTAAGATAGTCAAGAGATTAAAAGCAGCAAGAGCAGGAGATAACTGATGAAACAACACAATCACATAGTTCAGATAAGCAAACTGACGGCTGACAGCAAAAATTTAAATTCAGATCAAATAATTGACAAGTCATAATCTTAATTGACCATCGTGATTTCAAAAACCAACCAGATAAAAACTATAAGGGTATTAGAACTAGCAATAAGTGAAGTTTCCATGGTGTAATAGATACAGTTAGGACTTACTTTTTCCCTTCAACATCCACACCATGAACCAAAAATTCATCTGCATAATTAGCAAGAAAATGCAATACTTCCACATCAAGATAGACGTCACTGAACTTTTGCCATCTGTCAGTGACAATGGCATATTTGTCTTCCTGCAATAAAAAACAGCATGTTATAATTGAAATAACCATAAAAATCAAGCAGTCCATCAACTCAGTAGATAATATTCAGAGCGAGGGAGTAAAATTGGGGACTCAGGAGTCAGGAGAAAGGGAGGAGAAGGAAGTAGAATGTGCCAGGCAATACCCATACTCAAATGAGATTTCCTAGCATTCAGGGTGCAGAAGACAGAAATATTTCCTACCTTCTTTCTGCAGCTAAGGTCCAAAACAAGTCTCTGTTTCCCAACAACATGGACAAGTCCTTTGAGCCTTTGAAGGTCCATTTGCCCGTTGTTAAATACATACTGTAACAAATCCAAAAAGAAAAGATACATGAGATTCAGAGAACATGTTATCTTAGAATGAACCCTGTACATGTCCTGAATTCATGCCTTGCAACTAAATGTGTTACAGAATGTCAAAATTGATTAACATACTGAAGTAACAATGACATGGCTGGCTCCTTCCTCGATGTAACTCAAACAATTGTCTAAATTGATCCCACCTCCAACTTGCAAACCACCTAGATTTTTCCAGTCCTCACAATAAGTTCAGCAGAGGAAAGGTCTGTAAGTATTAAACATATTATCAAAGATGAACAAGGATGACACAGCCACTCTCAAGAAAATTCATTTGAAATTTCAGTACAAATGGTAGATGCTTGCATCATGAATTGTGAGTGTACATATTAAACCAGAATTCATATCTTTCCTTCACAGCTTTCATAATGATATCAAGTACTTTTTCTGCAAGATTAGAAAGAAAATGCAAGCAGCAAAAAGGTATAACAACAATGGAACCAGAGATAAATTTTAACAGATAGTGAAAAGTTCCCTATTCAACATAAATATATAGCACCAGCACCAAACTAGTTTGCAGTAATAATCTAAAAATACCAGAATTACTACCAAAATGACCTGAACTCAACATTTAAAAGTCCCAATTTACCTAAGAATAAGGCCTGACATTTACAATTGAGAACAAAGTTCCAACATCTTACAATTGACAATTAATTCCGACTACTACTGCTGCATCTATTGGAGTATCTATCTTTAAATCAATAATTTGACTCTGTTTTACAAGAATATCATATATTAATGTTATTAGGACACGTCTCAATTGCAAGAAATCAGAGAATTAGCTCATCTTAAGGACAAAAATTTGGGCGGGCGGCTGTCACAAAAAATACCATGATAAAAAATAAAGCTGAAGAATTGGAATAAACAAATCATGAAATATGAAACTAAAATATCAGCTTTTACCAGGATAGGCATGCAATGCTTCAATGGCTGCTTCTTGGCTTAGAGGATCAGCTCCAAGCATGATTACATGACCACCCTTTAGCCCATCTTTTTTGTACAACTTCGCAAACTCAGCTGCAGACTTATCTGATTCAAAATTGGTTACAAGGGTTGATCCATCCTCCTTTGAGTCTCTAAGAGTTGACCCAACAATTTGTTTCACTTTCCCCTGATATTAAACCATAATTTCAGTGTCAGGAACTAAAGCAAAAATGTCAGTCAAAGCCAATCTCAGACAAGCATCTATACATAAAGGGGAGACTTTTTCTCCTCCCATAATGCAAGGAATGAGAACAAAGGAATAATAAAAACAAGAAAGAACAATCTATTCTGAAAGAATAAGCATCATTAGGTGCCTTTAACAATGCTAAAAAGACAAAGAATGAAACTGTCTCAGCATTTAATTAACCAACTTAAGTTCTACAAAGAGAATTGAAATGGACACTATAAATCTATAGAAATTGCATGATAAAAAAGTCATGAAAAAGAAATTTGTGAGCTTTCTGAAACCAAAATAAACCCAGCAAATAAATCATTCCTTTGTATTCAATTACCTTGTGAATATCAATGCAAGGTCGAAAACTAACAGCACATCGAACAGAGAAATGACAAGATTCTGCAAAAAAGAACATTTTTAGAGGAAAAAAGTGAGATTTATGAAACTCAATAACGAAAAAACAAAGGTGAAAATAATAGAAGTTGACAAATACTGAAAATTAATGAAGAGCTGGCTCTGGCAAATGGGTGCTTGTTAGAACCATAGAAGGAAGACTTGAAATTCCTGTCGTGGGAATTGGTACTAAGCTCAAAGATTGAAGTCCCGTGGAGGCTGAAAGTTCTCATCTTTGGGTGAAAACACCACGGACCGGAATGAGGCAGGAGAAAGGCTTGGTTTTTTTTTTTTTAATGGCAGTATTGCACGTCATATAGCAGGCTCTCTGTCCTCTCCAGTTGGGCCGGGTTGGCTTCTCAAGTATAGAATCAATCCTGTTTATGGCCCGATGAGATGCTATCTCATTAAAACCGAGATCTATGGCTCTAGGGCATGTAACGTTACCTCATCTGTGACAAACTAAAACACCATGCCGTGATGTATCGCCAATTTCCCAAATCTGCAATCAAGCTCTTAAGCTCCTATCCCTTCAACTCTTCTTCAATGTTTATTTATTGCATTATTTTGAACCAAAACAAGGTTGAGAGTAAAGCATAGGCCGAAAAAAGTCGTGGATGGTTTTCAAAACTTGACCTGGAATCAAAACAACAACGAGGCAATGGCAATTTCTTGCCATTCTCTGTAGCCTTTCTCCAACTCGTTATTTTCTGACTGGCATAACGACACGCTTTTTATTTTTACAATAACAAAGAATACCTATGAAGAAGAACCTTCTTAAACCTCTCCAGAACCCTCAACCAAAATGCCCAGAACGATTGCCACCACTTTCTCCACTGTTGGACTCACCCCAAACACCAACACCTTCCCTTTCTCTCTTCCCCACAATTCCCGAACCCCGTCACCAGAGCCAACTCTTTTCCTTCCTCAAAACTCACCTGACCCACCAACCCTTAACCCCACAAACCCTCCTTCACTTTCTCAAAACGAAGCTCCATCATCATCCCATTTTCACCCACTATGACTTCCAAGTTTTCTCTTGGGCTTCCACCTTTGACTTTTTCCGCCATGACCACTCAACTTTCCTATGGATGGCTCACTCCTTAGGCTCCTCTCACCGTTTCTCTCAGCTTCATTCTCTCCTTAGTTTTATAGCTGCCAATCCTTGCCCTTGTTCTCCAGGTATCTTCTCTTGCCCTCAAATGGAACCCCTTTTTCGATTCGTTATCGATGCACTTTGTAGAGCTAGGAAGCTGAATGATGCTATTTTTGCTTTTGAAACCATGAAGAAATTGATTGATGGAAAGCCTAGTGTTGTTATTTATAATGTTTTGATTAATGGGTATTTGAAAAGTGGGGATTTTGGGAAGGCTTTGGGGTTTTATAAGAGGATGGAAAGCGATAGAGTGAAGCCAGATGTGTATACATTTAATACTTTGATTAGTGGTTATTGTAGGAATGGAAAATTTGAGTCAGGATTGGAGTTGTTTAGGGAGATGAAGGAGAAAGGTTGTACTCCTAACGTGGTAAGTTTTAATACTTTGATTCAAGGGCTTTTTCGGGAAAAGAAGGCTGAGGAAGCAGTTAAGATGGCATATGAGATGATTCAGTTTGGGTGTGAATTTTCAACTGTGACTTGTGAGATTTTGGTCAATGGTTTGTGTAAGGAGGTGCAGGTTTCGATGGCATGTGACTTGGTCATTGATTTTTCAAGGAGGGGACTGTTGCCAAAGGAGTTTGATTATTGTGGTTTGGTGGAGGAGCTCTGCGCTGAAGGAAATGCAGGTAGAGCATTTGAGGTGGTTAATGAGTTATGGATAAAGGGAAATGTTCCGAGTTTGATTTCTTGTACCACTTTGATTGAAGGTCTGAGGAGATCTGGGAGAAGAGAAGATGCATTTGGGTTGATGGAAAAGATGCTTAAAGATGGTATTGTTCCGGATAGCGTGACTTTTAATTGTCTCATGCAAGATCTTTGTGATTTGGGAAGAACAATGGATGCAAATAAATTTAGATTATTGGCTTCAACGAAGGGTTTAGAACCAGATGAGGTGACTTATAGCATTTTGGTATATGGATATACAAGAGATGGCAGAAGGAAGGAAGGAGAAATTTTGGTGGATGAGATGTTGGATAAAGGATTTATACCTGACATTGCTACGTATAATAGGTTGATGGATGGGCTCTCCAATTCTAGAAGCTTGGCGTTGAAGAAAGTTGGTGTTGTACATAGGTGAACGGGATACTTAGTTGTGACAACTAGCATGACGGGCACAATAGTTAAAGGAAGAACAAATGTGATGGTCGAAGTGGAAAGAGATGCACTGTGAAGTTCTTTTTGGTCGATATGTGAACTTAGTTGATCAAGGCTATCTTCTGCTCTGTAATTAGCCTGAAGATGACCTAGCAAATGCATATTGATGGAGTTTCATCTTCCTCAGTTTAGAGTACTGCATGGGGGAATTTGACAATAAATCCACTTCAGAGAGCACAAAACGGGATACCATGTGATGAATTGCCAAATCCTCTTGGCCACTAAGTGTAATCAGTTGATCAAAGCAATCTTCTATTCTGTGATTGGGCTGAAGCTAGCCACCTAGCAAAGGCACTTAGGTGGAATTGGATCTTCCTCAGTGTACAATAATGCAAGGGTTGTTGGGAAATTTGACAACAAATCCTTTCAGAGAGCAGGAAATGGGGTACCATATGATGTTATGCTTCACTGTGGTCTTTGGGAATCCATGCTTTTTCTCTGCATATGATTGTCTAACAGCATTTATTTGTTAAGCATCAGCCTGAAGGACAGGACAGTATACTTCTTGCAGAAAATTGGTATACATCTGTGTTTAGGATGCTAAGGAAACAAGGAATAGGTTCGCCTACAGAATAATGCTAAACAGCCTACACTTGCACCTTCCCGACTTCTTCCACTTTAATCTGTGAAGTGGTACCAGCTAATAAGTTACAGCATGGTGTTAGGTTACTGCAAATTTCAACTTCACACATCATAAACTGTAAACATTTGTTGATGTACATCTTTGCAACACAGCAAAGGGAACTATCCCGCACACAATCTGACCCTCCTTTCTTTTTCTTTTCCTTTTACTCTAGGTTCTTCCTTTATGATTTGTGGATATTATATTTACTCAGTTTAATAAACCTAATGACAAATTGGTGGAGATCTTTTTACATTGTGGATTTGGTGGGTACCTTTGGATTATGATATTATTACTGCTTCTTCCTAATTGGCAAGCTAGTGATCTCCCTAGCTCACTCGAATGTTAGTCCTCTCATGGCCACCATTTGCCTTGATGAAGATTTTGCAAGGTAGCAACAATTCTGTATTTCAAGAAACTTGCTTCCAAACAAACACATCTTTCATCAGCTCTAGACTTGGTTGATAGTTTTCTTGTATGTTTCAATTTTTTCTTTTCCCACGATTACAGGGTGTTGTGGGAAGACACTGACTTTAGAGCTCCATGTTCTGAGGCCCTGATAGCTGTCCAGTGTATTAGTATACCTATTTATTATCACAGACCAGCAAAATTACTTATGTTGGTTGAAGACTTAAGTTCGGTTGCTACTTGGTACTAGATGCAGCATGTAAAGGTAAATAAAATGTTACAAGTGCTCTTTTTTTGTTTTTTTGTTCTGTGAAAGTTGATAAAATTTTCATGTGTTGAATCTATTCCCATGGAATAATCTCTTGATTTCTTCTCTGTATAATATGTCAACTACTGCGTGCTCGAGATATGGCACAAAAAACATAGGACCAGATAGCATTGTGTATGGTACTCACTGACAGAGACTTGGTTGAGCAAGACTATGAAGAACGAGAGTGGGATAGAGGATTCCGAGAGATTGAGAAGTCAGACTAAGAAGAGGCTATATGGACTATAGTTACTTGGTAATTTTTCCAAGCTCCCTCTGCTAAAGCCTAAATGCATATACATAAATATACATACATATACGTGTATATATATATATATATATATATATAGGAAAAATGTTTCCTAGAGTTTTCTTGGTGTCTAAGGTAGTTTTTAGTTTTAGAAAATAGAATTATTTTTTATTTTCATTTTTCGAAAAAATAAAAAAAATATAAGTGAAAACGTGTTTGATAATTAAAAATGAAAATAAATTTTTAGAAAATAAAAACGAAAATGGATTGAAATATGAAAAAAAATATGTTTTCAATTGTGAAAACAAAGGGTATAAATTATTTTTTTTCCTTACGTTTTTACAAATTATCATATTTAAATACTTTTTAATGTCATAATTTAATCAATATATATTATATTATAATTAAATGACATTAATAGTAATATTATTGAATATGTTATTTATTTTCTTATTTTTGGATTTTAGAAAATAATTTTTATTTTCATTTACTAAATACATTTTTTAGAAAACAAAAAATAAAAAATAAAAAATATTTTTTATAAAACAAAAATAAAAAATAAAACCGGTAAACATTTTCTCAAACAAATGGAGCTTAAATTTTTCCTATATATTTTTTTCAATTTCTTTTTCATAATTACTATATGCTTGAGCGGCTCAAGTTCGTACAACTTATCAACGTATCATTGTATTAAATGCTTGACATTGAATCTGTCAGTTAGAAATTGCTGATATACCATTCACAGGAGAGGCAATTCTACAAAAGAAAATCAGCAATCTACGCTTCAATGCTGTCTGGATTTGCTGAGGCCAGAGGGTTAGAAATATTGATTTTTCACTAATGTCTGTCATTATAGATTTACCAAACAACTGCATTGTGAATTCAAATCCTCTTCTCCATTTGTTTTTTTTTTTTTTGTCTCTTGAAAGGAAAATAGGTTGTGTAAACTGTAAATGATCTGTTTTGTAAACCACTACATAGTTTGAGATGGCTTTGAATGATACATAGAATTAAGTATATGATACTGTACAACTGTTTAGTTTAACTCAAGTAGATCTGAAAAATCAACGGCAGGCCACAAACAGAATTAATTTCTTAGATTTGTTGCACTAAATTACATAGTATCGCTAGTTTTCTACGGCGGATAGCGAACTCGAAGTTAATTTGAGAGAATCAGTTACCTCAACTTACCATAGGAGCAGAGCTAGTAATCTGCACAGCCATACTGCTCATGAATCACAGATGGTTACTGTGAAACTTTCAGGAGTGATTGAATCAATAGAATACTCCCAAGATGAATTTGCATGCCGAAATGCTTTTACTCGTGATCGGTGATTATATGCTTGATAATCTTTACACGAAACAACCCACAGAGTGGAGAATTTCAACAGGCACAAACAACAAAAGTCCTCACACCCACATGTTTAGTGGGCAAAAAGTGAAAGAACATTGCTTGCGCCCACTTTGGACATGCAACGGTGTTTCTATCAAACTGCAAAAGATTATTTTCAAGTGATATGGAAGACCAACATACCTGCATGAATAGAATTATAGGATAAAGATTAGTTTTATTTCCACCGGCTGTAATGTTAAAAACAAAGCTGAATACGTATATTTCTCTCATGGTGTAAGGCTTAACAAGATGTAATCGAAACCAAGTCATGATATCCTCAATACCCGTATTCAGCATGCTAAAGACTTTTATAAGGGATTCAACCAGTAATTAAACAATTTGATTTGCAGAAAGTTCTCCATAAGTTTATATAAATATATATATATATATATATGTAAATATAAAGCATAAGCTTATTTTTGGGAGCTTAAAATGAAATTTGTACTGATTATTTTCATTCTAGGTTAACTCCTTTTAGATTGAACTTTTTTTTTTTTTTGCCAGGCTTTTAGATAGATGTTGAACCTTGATCATTAAAGAACTTCTACCCAGAGAGACTAAAAACAACTTCATATGTAAGCACTAAAACATTTTCAGAAATTCTTCTCTCACTTGTTTAAGCATAAGAGAAGTTAGATCTCCATACTAGCTAACTACAACAGAAGGAAACCTTCTATGAATTTTTTTTTTCAAAATCAAACAAATAGAGCTAAATGCTGAAACTAAAGGGAGAAATCCTTTTCCATCTACTGTATGATAATTCAGGTTTGGTACTTTGGTTTCTATACACCAGATGACGGTCCGTCATATATTCTCCAATCCACAGCAGCATGACATATTTGAGCATCTCAAAGGAGCTTGGACAAACAAGCATGAAAAGGGTTTTCTAGAGAGAGTGTCTAACAAGTTATAGATTTAGGCAAACATTCGATTATCTAAAACGCATCAGATAAACAGATAGTTTGAATTTAGTGTTAATAAGTAGAGTAAAATAAATAAAAGACTGTACATACAAATCACACGCTTACCTAAAAATGTGAAGGCAAATACTATTGTCAGTATCATTTATCTGGATCGTCTATTACCTGTACCAAGTTAGGAAAATCTATCATATCTGGCATTACATGCTCCAAGTCTCCTTTGCAGGTGCATGACCTTTATCAGAAACCCACGTAATCCCTGGAGACCATGGTCACCAGGTGCTGAACTTAGTTCAATACACTGACGCTGTGAAAGAGATAAATACCATAAGATGAGGTCATTGACCAATGCAAAACAGGCTCTCTGCTATAGAGTACTTGATGAGTTATTGCAAAAACTAAGCAATAAGAAAGGTTCAAAATTAACGGCTTTAAAGGTGTGCTACAATACAGATCATTCAAAATTTTGGTTCTTCTTTATAAATTTTATAAACTTTTGAGGTTAAGAACTCAATTTTGTTTAAAGCTGGTAACAGAATCCTGAGCTAACTACTCCACCAGATCTTGACTATTGTTTACCTTAAAAAACCAGCAGCATGACTTCAAGAGATTAATGTTAAGATGGATTGAAGCATTAGCATTGCTAGTGAAACATACCTGTGCAGCATGATAAGCATCAACGTATGATGGCAAACGCCCTTCTTCTCCGTCTTTCAATCTTTTAGTATAATTGCTAGGAATTCTACTCCCATATGCAGTCCATAGATTATTGAAGAACCCAAAGAGATTCATTCTGCTGGAAGAGCCTCTCAATTTGTTCTCAAGGAAGAAACTCTTAGATTTGCCTTCAGTAGCTTCTAAATCCCAACTTCCATCTTCAGCATTCCTGTTACGAGAACTCTCTTGGAAAGAATCCACTGATCTAGACCCAAATTTATAGAACGATGAGAACCTACTTTCCCTAAGTTATTATCCTTCATAGGATCATAATAATGGCTACAGGCTATTATAAGAAACACCATTCATATTCACTTCTTCAATTTCTCCACATTCATTCCTAACAATTCCAGTATCTATTGAGCAAGATGCTGTGGTTGGATCAAGAAATCTTTTCAAGATGTCACTATCATCCAAGTCATAACGGTGATTGTGTTCACTATGATTTCCCCGAGAAAGAAATAATGCCAAACCATCTCTATCTTGTTCATTCAAGTTTCCCCACTCCGAGTTTTTCATGGGATTTCCCATTGCCATTTCCTCCAAGCTTTTCTCAACATTATTTATCTGTTCCCCAATGGCTCTAATAAACTGCTTATGTCTGGAAATCATATCCTCCCTAGAGTGGTACTGATCCATCCTAGTTGATGAGCTAACTGCTCGTTCAACATCTTCCAACTAATTAAAGCAGGCAATAAAATTAGCTAATCAATGAAACTGGGAAAAAGAGTTGCAAAGAGAATACAATCAATACCTGCCATTTTGTTGTTTCGAGTATGGTAGCAAGATCACACCTATGATACCCAATCGAAGTAAGCAATCTCAGGTCAGAATGATCACCTTGAACAAGACTCTGTTCATGCAAAAGAAGGTGAAAAATATTCCATCCTGAAAAATACCAAATGAAATATCATTAGTTTTGAACATTCATAAGAATATATTTCAGCACAATAAATCACTCCACATCAATACAATAGCATAAAAGGTCTTCTACCGTAGCTTAATTTCAATTCATTAGATACAATGAATGCAAAATTGAAAGAAAATCAAAACCAAACTCACTAAACCAACATTCATTTATTTAGATGCCATTATTCCAAAAAACAAAAATCCTAAAGTTTGTTTATATTAAGGCTAGTTGTGGAGAAATTAAATAAAACCAGAAACCCAATTCCACAATTAAAAAAAAAAAGAAAAAAATGTTTTTCAAAAGGAAAAACAATAAAAATGAAAACTTTCGAAATGGGTATATTCCATTTTAGGGGGAACAACAAACCTGTCAGCTGAATCTTGAACAACTTCGGCTGCTGAGAATAGACGGTCGGATTCCCACTGAAGCAAGCTTGATCCCATTTTCTTTATATAATCATAAGAAAAATGAAATAAGCGTGATAGAAATTTGAAAATAAAAACTTTGGCTCTCTAAACACATAGGAACCAACGAGAAAATGAACTCCAAAACAATGATCGAAGTAACAAATGAAAGAATAACGAAAAGGGTATTTTCTTTGAATGAAAATTAAATGAGTTTGAAAGAGCAATTCCCTATGGGCTTTTTTTTTTTTGTCTGTAAATTGGGAACTTTATAGGGTTTTAGAGTTTTAAATGGGTTTTGTCCTTCTCTTTCTTTTTCAATTTTCCATTTGTTTTTTTTAAACAAATAACTATTTCTGTCAGCTGTTTTATTAAATAATTTTCTACGAAAATTCAAATTTGCTTTATTTAGTATTTTATTTTCTATATTAGTTATTTAAAGAATTAATTACAATTTTGTTATGCAAAATTTAACAAAATGTACAAACCAATTTTGAAACTTTCGAAATGTGATTCTTTAGTCCATTATTCAACATGTTAACATAAAAAAAAAAAAAAAAAAACCAAAAACCAAAAACCCTAAAAAAACCCCTAATGAAATACCCAATTTGAAACAAAATAAACCCTTATGGAAATCCCATATTTCAATCAAGAAATTGCCTAATAAAATTCCCCAATTTATAATATAGAGAGCATCTCTATTAATTTGTTTCGATTCTTTATTAACATTTTTAATCATTTTACTTCTGACTTTTTATATTAATTTGTTTTAATATCTAACGAAATATGTGAATAAAAAAAAAATTATCAACGATGTGTTGATTCAATAGTAAGTAATCTGATCCTAAATAAATTTTACTTGCAAAAAATAAAAATTCGAAACATAAAAAAAACCTTCGTTAAAAAAAAAAATAACTTAAATGATCATTGTTTTTAAATCACTAATGTTTCACTATTTGAAATAGTGGCATCATTTTCTTCATCATTTTTCTTACAAAAAAGAAAATTACAATTTACAAGGCACCTTGATTAAACCTAACAAGTCAACACCGGCTTTTAAGCTCATGATTTTGTAAGAGTATCTAAGAGAGTTAACTGATCAAACTCATGGCATAAACGGAATGAGATTCAGATTCCAATCAGCAGTCATTCTACAAAGTGCATCATAGACTATTAGTGTTTTAAAGCAAAAGAAAGCTAAATTCTTTACTTTAAAGCAAAGGAAGTGGTGCAGCCAAAAAGAAGTAACTGAACGCTACTGCTTACCTGCGTCCCAATAGTAGAGTTAGTAGTACCTTGCGAATTTAAGAGTTACTTTTAAGGATTTTTTTTTTCTCAAATTAGATTTTGGGCCTAATCGAATTTTAAATGAAAAACTTAAAATTAAATTTTAGATAAATCAGTTTCGCTTTGTCTTGGTATATATATAAAAAATATTTTTATAAAAAAAAATATAAAAATTTAGATAAATCAAATCGAATTTAAATATAAAAATAAAATAAAATCAAATTTAAATATTAAAAATAAATATCATGTCAGATTGAATTTAGGACGAATAAAATCTCACTCTGATCTCACCCGTTGTCATACTTTCAACCTTAATTCACACTACTGAACAACAAACTACCGTATTCTGTTCCCTCTTTTCATTCTTGACATTACTTTTACCCAGTCCTCTAAATCATTTACCTTCTCCTTCCTCTAAGCATGACTATAAATATTTGGGCATACGATGAGGCAAGATTAGGGCTTTCGGTGCAGAGCAGCAATAGTTAATCCTTATTGACATAAAAAATCCAAGCTTCCTAAACCACTTAAGATCTTTCAATACGTAGGGAAGAAGATTAAACCAAAACAATGACCTTTCAGCTCCTAGTAACCCTCAGATTAAATAAGCTGAACAAAAGATTAGCTGAATACTGTCGAAGTTTATTCATTCATAATACAGAAAACAATAGTAGATTATTGGAAAATAAATCCAGAAATGTCAGCTTCACTTTGTGCATAAGATTCAGACCATCTGGTTATAAGATGTAGTCAAGAATTAAGCTTCATTGTAGGAAGGATGAATGAAGATTCATTTCATAACATTCCACCACAAACCAATGAGGGAATATCAACAAACAACAATATTACTGTTTAAGTCTAATCCCACAATTTTTTTTCTCCAGAAAGGATTGTCCTATGCAGAAGATAAACACTACATGCAAAACTTTGCCCTTAGTTACAGATTAGAACTGACAAATCCATCCATATTAAGGCAAGGAACACTAAAGCTGAAACTTTACTACGCATTATAAATCATGTAGAACTAGAACACCATTAGAGACATTCATGAATGAAGGTTCCTGCATGCGCCATCTACTTTGCCAGAAAAAAGGCCTCCTTGAAGCTTATTGGGCGGCTGAAAACTACTCTCTAGCTTATGGTTTGATTAATCTAGCCACAAGATCCTATGTCAAGTTTAATATAAAATGTCTAATGACTCCTCCCATCGTATATGCTAAGCACAGTCCAATAATATATCGTAAGCACACAATTGATCCTGAAATTCTGAACCACATTCCAGAGGAAGTAAGTATAATGATCATTTTTGAAGCATTCAACTGACAAAGACAAGATATTCAAACAAAAATGTCATTGATCTCATCAAAGTAAGTTATGGTTTGATTAATCTAGCCACAAGATCCTACACCAAGTTTAATATAAAAGTAAAATGTCTAATGACTCCTCCCATCATATGTGCTAAGCACAGTCCAATAATACATCATAAGCACACAATTCATCCTGAAATCTTGAGCCACATTCCAGAAAAAGTAAATATGCTGATAATTTTTGAAGCATGCGACAGACAAAGACAAGATATTCAAATAAACATGCCATTGATCTCATCATCAAAATAAGCATTGTATGTAAAGAAAAGGCAAAAGCAAAACATTACATTCAAACGAAGTACTTAACCATCTGAATTTCCTTCTGCTTAAAACCACACTTCTCATAAAACACGTTGTTGTCAACACTGCAATCCAAAATAACCTTATAACAGCCCATGGAACGAGCGTGATCTGCCAGAAACCCCACGATTTTCTTCCCCAATTGCATGCCTCTCACATTCCCATCAACCACTACATCTTCAATATGCCCAACCTTCCCACAGTTCCTTATGAACTTCTTCTCAATAAACACACTCCCTGTCGCTACAATCTTACCCGAAAAATCATCTTCGATTACACAAACAAGATGATCATCACCGTACATACTTATTTCTTTAAACCTGTCTTCGAATTCTTTGTCAGAAACAGAATCAAAAACAGTTAGTTGTTGTAAGAGCTCGATAAAACCCTTACTTTTGTCTGAAAGTTCCAGTTTTCGAACCCGGAAATTTTGTTCTTCTTTTGTTGAATTACTGTTCTCCATTTTCTCTTTCCAATTCTCTAGATAGTTAAAAAAAGAATCTTTAATTGAATTAATATTCAATATAAATACAAAAAATAATAATAATAAAGGGCTCAGCAATTCATACCTGTTATGGTTCAATGCATTTGATGTGTTCGATGAAGTTCTTGCCCAAAGTGAGTTGCAGGTTGATGTTTTATTATAGATGTCCTGTGGTTTTTATAATTATAATTTGATCCCTTGATTCTTCATTAATTGTAATTATACCCTGTCGGTAAGCGAAGCGACCTTTGGGTGGTCATAAATTGTGTTTGGCACGAGCCTTTTTCACTCAACCGCTCCCAAAGAGAAAAACCCAGAAACATAGGAAAAGAAAAGGTCGAAGCTTTAAGCCATGAAACCGTGATAAGAACAGAATAGTTAGTAAATAAAAAATAGGAAAATCGAAACCCCATGTCGAGATCACTGATTCAACGCATTTCTCCATATTTCATAGCTCGAATCAGACAGAACCACAGACTTTTAAGGTCCTCCTATTCTTCATCTTCTTCAGCTCTTCGTGAGGCTTCTTCTGAATCTTCTGAATCTCCATTTCCATCTCTCGATGCTATTCACATGACAGATAATTGCATCAAGGTAAAAAAAATTATAAAAAAAAAAACTTTTTTTGCTTTATGGGTACTTGATTTTTTCTTTTGTTTCATTTGTATATTTTACCATTTCTAAGTATTGTTTATCGGTTTTGTTTTGTTTTATTTTTGGTATTACCGCTTTGTTGGCTTTTTCCATATTAGTAATTGTTTTTGAGAGCGTTCTGTAATTTAATGGGGGGTTGTGGTTCTGCTGTTCTGTTTGGGTGTTGAAAAAGTGCAGGAAAAGATTGAATTTTTTGAATTATCTTAATTTCTTTTTGTGTAAAATCTAGCTTGTGAGAACATATATGTAAGTGCTGTAAATTTTAATATTTTGGAACATAATTAAATAGAAACATTCATTCAATTTCTTTCTCATTCCTATTTCACTTTCTGTCACAATCTTCATGCAGCCTCCTTTTTTTCCCTTTCATATGAGGTTATGTAATTTTTGTTCTATCAATCTTTTCTTGTTATAAATTGATACTGAAATATATTGTAAAAAAAACCTGTCTTCTTTCTTCACTAAAGACTTTCGACCGACTTGTATGAGATACTGTAACAAAATTACAAAATTTAGGTTATGGACCCAATAACTTTTTACCCATTGCAGTGAAATTTGAATGAATAACCTTGCTTATTTCTTTGAATTATGTTTCAAATGGTTGGTGATAAATATGCTGCTTAAATGCTTAGATAATCTGCATTTGGTCCTTGTGGTCATTTTCCCATTGACATTCGGGATGCCTTGCAGAGAATGAAAGAATTGCAAGCAAGTGAAGAATCATCCGTGGAAAAGATGCTTCGATTGAGTGTAGAAACAGGAGGATGTTCTGGGTTTCAATACGTTTTTGATCTGGTTGACAAAACCAACCCAGACGATAGGTTTCTTTCTTCTCCTTTCTTCTTTTTTTTCTGGTTTGACGAAAAGAATGCTTAATTTCTTTCTCTCTTATTACTACTGTAACCACTTTTTTTTTATTCTATTTCCAGAGTTTTCGAGAAAGAAGGAATAAAATTGTTAGTTGATAATATTTCCTATGATTTTGTAAAAGGAGCAACCATTGATTACGTTGAGGAGTTAATTCGTTCAGCATTCCTGGTAAGTCATGTTATCTTGTTGGGAGCATAAATGTGTCTGTGATGTTGTTTTAAGTTCTAGAATAGAAGTAATTTTCCTCTAGCTAATTGATTCCCTGTGATATCTTCTAAATTGATTGCTGGTAAGCTGCACGCCTTCCTTGTGAATAATGGAGATCTCCATAAGATGCAAATACTCTTCATTTATTGTGGCATGAGAATGTTAAACATCAAAATAGGATGCATTTTTACGTTTTTTAGGCACCTCTGAATCTATTTGAGGTTATTGTCTTGCTTTTTTCCCTGGTCTATTTATGTTAGCTCCAGAACTAGCCTAAAGAGAGTTAAGCAGTGTCCTGATGGTACTCCATGCGACTGCAGGAATGATGCTAGAATCTTCGTGATTAGATTTGTTTTTATTTAGTTGGATTGGAAAAGGTGGACTAATTATCATCAAGTTTGGTGGGATAAGGCAAGATTTTGTTCTATATTAGAAACTGAGTCACCCAAATTCCATATTGGTTTGGAAAAATTTGTAGTGCTCCTCTTAACAAGGTTTTAGCTCATTGTGGTGGTTTATGTATTGCATGTCCATCAGATGATCTTCCTAGTCAAATTCTACATAGCCTCGTAGCATCTATGTGAACCTGTTTAATGATGCTATTTTTCACTTCTAATTTTGCTTGAGTGTGATATTCCCTCTTAATCTTCCTACTTACATTTGTTTAATGCTACTACTACGAAGTTAAATATGCCCAACACTCAGTCAATACTCTTTAAAACTTTTTCTTGGTATGAGATGTGAACAAAAATGTATGAAGTAACATTGGGATTAATAGGGCCTATTGACCCTTTAGGTGTGATTCATAAATGTGTACATCAAATTGTGCACTCACCTTAAAATGTTTCTATAATCAATTATAACTTACAATTCTGACTACTAGCAAGACAACACAGGCACTCCATCAATCACTAATTTTGTCTGCATCACTGCTTCATTATGTAAAGATTCTATTCAGATTTCCTTCTGATATTCTTCAGCGTGATATAATTGGTTATAATCAGATGGTGCAAAAGGATTATAAACCTCAGGCAAAGTCAAGTGGCTTTATGTATCCACAGAATTAGAGTTATAACGCCACATTAAATGATATTTCACTTCTGTCACCTTGACCTCTTTTGTGCCGTGTAAAACCTATGTAGTGGTCAGCTGCAGTGTAGCACCGTTTTATGTGAATTATCATGAATCTAGTGTCTGGTTGTTGGTGCCACCGTATTTAGTGTGTTTTCAACAACTATTTTACCTAGTATGGATATGCCATAAGCGAGGCTGCAGTGGCTGAATTCCAATTTCTTGTGCAGGTAACAACAAATCCAAGTGCAGTTGGAGGGTGCAGTTGTAAAAGTTCATTCATGGTGAAACAATAGGTCTTTCAAATACATTGCCCATACTTCCAGTGAGGCTGAGAGTATCAGCTGACGGAACGATTCAGTGAATCTTTTTTCTACCAGATTTTTTTGTCATATCAACTACGAACATTATGCATATTTCATATGTAACATCATAATGTAGTGAGGGCACTGCCGCTTATCTATTAATTAGGAACTCGTATGCTGTATTAATGAGTAAGATTACTCTTTAGTCTATACTCAAATTGATGATCGTCTTCCTGTACTTTTTATTTGAGACCAACTACTGACAAGTTAGTATTTAACCCTAAATCCAATAAAACGAAACCACAAAAGTGTGCGCCATTCCTGTGTGTTTCTGACATGAATACAAATGTTCTTTGCTCATGCTTGCTCAAAAACTTCTGCACCATCTTCACATTGGGTTTTTAAAATGTCAAATTCTTGAATCTTGAAAACAATGATGAAGTTTACAGGACAAACGTGGCTCTCTTCAATTATTCACGAACAAGAACTTGAGAATTGTGGTTTCACTAGTGTCGTAGGAGCCGGTTATTTAGAAAACAATGGACAACGACAGGGTAGGAGAGGATGCTCACACTTCTGATGTCAAATGTTGTTTCTCTTGTATTTCCCTTTAAACTAGTTCATAATCTCAGAATGCTTCACAGTCAAAACATAAATGTCCACAAGTTTCTGAAACAAAAATGGCCTGCAACTGGTTTTTCCCCCTCAAATACCCCGTTGAAATCACTGCCCGAACATCCATTCTATTCTATCACCATTCAATTAAAGGCAACCAAATTACAAACTTACAGACTCTAGTCCTTGACAAAAATGCAACTATAATGAAAATGTGGGTTCAGTCATTCATGCTGAGATTAATCTACATTCAACAATCACAAATCGGACAGTGATGCAAGAAGTAGATCAGTATACATCGTAGCCATCCATCAATTCTGAATAATAATCCAAAATTTTCAAAGATGATTCAATTCAACCAGCTCATGGTTAAGAAACAAATATGTTCCACCAAAACAAATAACATTTTATTGCAACAATGAGCATTGCTACCTAATTGATATATGCTCAGACCCTATCCTCAATAACAACTTCAAAATATCCAGAAAGAGCAGGATGATTTCATTCCTCTGATTGCCTCTGTCCTAACACTGGAATGTCTTCATATCGTTTCTGTTCAATAGCAATAAAATCAAATTTACATGTTAGTAGATGGATTACTTAAGCTCTGGAAGTAATTGATTATTGCAGACAAAGACCAGCAAACATGCAGTTGTAAAGCCACTAAGCATACAATTTTTAATGATGGATCAAATCAGATAAGCAAACCAAATCCATATAATCATTATCAAATTGCAACATATTTGAGACTTGGAAGAAAGAAGAAAATATAGCATTAGAGAAGGCTATATCACATTGTTTAGGAAGAGGAGAGAGAAGAGAAAGAAAAGATGCAAAAATACTTCACTTTTGGCAACACATAACCATGCACACAACTGACAGTAGATAATAGCAAAGCAACCTAAGAGATTCAATATAAAAAAGGTAGCAAGTAACGTCACCCACCACACAATAACAATATAAAGTGCTGCAATTGTTGAAAAGGTGTCACAGCCTTCTACAAAATTGCAACATTTATTTCATGAAAAGCCAAATTTCAAAGTTTATGATATTTGAGCTTGCAAGGAAACTACAACCCTTCCCAGATCCTTCCTCCGGAAAGCATATCACAAACAACAAATGAGACAAGACACATTCCCACAGTTTCAAAATCTTCTAAAGACAGTTTCCCAGGCATCTAATAGCACTTACAAACTATGGAATAATAATGATGGTAGTTCTTGACAAAAAATTGACATTTACATAAAGACTACAGATAAGTCACAGAATCCATCATGGATATACTTGGTTCCAGAAAACCATCAAAAAATAACCAGTACAAGATTATTATATCTAGATTTCTGAAATTGGAATGAACCACGTAAAGCAGAGGCACCTTGGGCCATCTTACTTGCTATAAAAGTTTAAACAACTAGTCAATCAGGGAGTAGGGACTATCCTCTCCACAATGCAATCAAATACAAATCCGTGTGTGATTGTGCAAAGTAATAATGAATTGATGACCAAATTTGCTAATAATATTCCAAACTCCACACGCACAAATAAGCTGCCCATGCCATAAAATGCACAAAAAAAAAAAAAAAAACTGATATTCGTAAGATTAGAAATGTTACCCCAACATTGTTGTATTCCCAGAGCTTATGGACTCCATAATCCACAGCCTACAAAATTCGAATTAATTAGAATAAGAATCTTCACCATTCTTTCTCATTAGACCAGAACTCATAAACAACTAATATTTAAACCTTATTAGAAACTCATCATTTACAAGAAAAAACCAAATAATCGATAAAAATTAACAATCCCCGGACCAAAAATATCCCAATCAGAAATTAAAAAACCCTAACCTTCTCCAAAAATCAACTATAAAATTTATTCGAAGAAACGGATCAAAAGTGGAAATAGTAAGGGATTCTATGCGAAAAAAAAAAAGTTAAAATTTACCCGTTCTCCAAGGAAAGCGCCGGCGATGACGAAGGTGACGTAAACGGAGTTACGGCGCATGATGACTCTGTAGAGACCTTCGAAGATGCCTCCTTGACCTCTTCTTCGAGCTCCATAATCCATGGCGATTCGATAAGGTAGAGGGAGTTCTCTCGCTGGGATCTGCGATGAGGGTTTGCAGAGATGCTGTACGGTGAACGCGAAGAAAAGGGAAATTTTGTTTTGTAACGATGAACTTTTGAGAAGGGTTACCGGGTCGAACCGAGTGATATGGAATTAGATTTGCTGGGTCAACGGCCCAATGGATTGGATTTTGTTGCATTTTGCTTTCCTTTTTTTTTTTTTTTTCCTTTTTACTTAATAATTAATACAACCTTTTTCATTGGGCATTTTTCCTTATTTTAAATTGGATGAAAATTGTAAATAAAAATATCTCTAATTTTATAAATTGAAATATTATGCAATAATGGTCAATGAATATATGTGATAACTATCTAATCTTACTTATGAAATTTAAAAATTTACTATTAATATATAAAATAATAATTTATTTACAATTAACTCTTTTCTATGAAAAAATATAATACATCTCATTTCAAGCTTCACGTGTCAATTCTTATAACGATGCACTATTGTGTTTTTTACAAGGAAAAAACTTTGTAGGTTAGGAAGGCAATTAAGGAAATACATTATAAAGGAAACAATTATATGATTGAGGATTTGAGGGTGCATGAACCCTAACACGTGCACTTTTGTTATTTTTTTTTTTCTTATCTATTTAGTAGGAAAAGGATTTTTGAGTTTCATCTTAATATATTTCTTATTTAAATCAATTCAAACATATTTATTTATGTTAAATCTATCGAATATATAATAAATTATTTTTTATTATTTAAACTCATCGTCCGCCCATTTATATCACTTTGTTATGTTGAAGTATCCAAATACTGCTTGAAGAGCAAGACTTTAACTTGCACATATATTTATTGATTTTTATTTATAAGCTTATTAATTATTTTTGGAGGAGATCATTTTACACGAGAAAGATTTTGATTATTTGAAGCTAAATTTTTGTTTATAAAAGAAAAGTGATTTTTGAAATTAAATGCAAATGGTTGGAAAGGTCTTTTGATTGCATGGAAAAGATTATGATTTATAAAAATAAATAAATAATTAATAAGGCTCTTAATAGCTTACGAACGAGTCTTGCTTATTAAAAAATGATTTATGTATTAAATGTAAATAGTTAGAAAGTAGATTTGATAATTCACGTTGTTACATTATGTAAAATATTATATTTATATTATATTTTATATAAAAATTACATATCAAAATTTATATTAATATAAAAATATAAAATTTAAATTTTATTAAATTTATTTATAATTTTTTAAAAATTGTAAATTATGTGATCTCTATATTTTTTATTTGTGTTATTTTTATATTATATTATCATATCATATTTTAAATTATCAAATTTATTTAAAATTCATTTGATTGTTTAGAAATAATTATGAATTATTGAAAAATGATGTACATTTAAAGAAAAAAAGTCAACATTTGTCTTTGCTTGTTTTCTTTGTATATTATATTTTTATTATACATGTAATCTTGAGGTATATTGTAAAAAGTAACTTTCTCACATTTGGTAAAATTTATCGTATCCATTATATAATTCAAACTTAAAACCTTTAAAATAGAATTTTAAATTCTAACCATCACAGTGCTATGTTAAGGAAATGAAATTTAATATATTGAAATTTTAATATTTTACTCAGTTTGATGGGTGTCAAATTCCAAAATTAAAATATAATAAAAGTATCATCAGATGATTGATTGATTGAATCAATTAAAATTTATTTTTTTATTAAGAGATATTGAATTTGAATTTTATTAGTGATCATTTATTAAATTTATTTCAAATGTACAATTTATAAAATATTAAAAAATTATATTTTATATTTTTATATCAAAATAACTTATAACATATAATTTTTAGATAATAAATTATAAAATCTACTTACAAAATTATTCATGGGAGAAAAAAATAAAATAAAATAAGAGGTTGCCACGAGTGCGTAACGGTCTTCCTTTTATCACGGGTCCGTAGGCTGCGCGCGTGATAATCCCTCTCTTCTCTCGTCAATTTTGTTCTTTATTGAAAAACCTAAACAAAAAAAGAAATGAACGAAAAATTCAACTACCACTTCACGAATCCCACTCTTTTCTCTCAGCTTCGAATCCCTCACTCAAACTAAGGAATCGAATACGAATCGAGAAAAAAAAAAGCTGTGCTTCTTATTTGGTTAAATAACTTTCTCAGTTATTTAGTTGAATGGAGTTGTTTGATGGAAACTTAGAGCTCAAAGAGATTCAAAAGCTCCAAGGCCACAGCGACAGGGTTTGGAGCCTCGCCTGGAATCCTGCCACCGCCGTCGCCGATGTTCCCGCGGTTTTCGCTTCTTGTAGCGGCGATAAGACCGTTCGAATCTGGGAGCAGAGCCCCGCCACTCGCTCCTGGGACTGCAAGGTCATCCTCCTGCTATTTATTAATTTCTTCTTATTTTTATTTTTCTTTTTTTTTAACTGAAAAAGTTGCTAAGAGTAAGTGAAATTGATTTAAGCTAGGTCAGAAACTTATAAATTTCAATTTTTTTGTTGCTATTTATATTTAATTAATGTAGTTTTTTTTTTTTTTTTGTTGAAGTTGTTTGAAGTTTACAATTTTACTGGTAATTTTTTTTTCTTTCAAAATAGAATGAATTCCATCTTTTTGAATTTGTTTCGAAACATTAGCTTTAGTTATGTTTGTTGGAATTCATGGTAATTTGGAGTGTGATCTTTTGCAGGCTGTTTTGGAAGATACACACACTAGAACAGTCCGATCCTGTGCTTGGTCACCGTCTGGGAAATTGTTGGCCACCGCCAGCTTTGATGCTACCACTGCCATATGGGAAACTGTGGGGGTTGACTTTGAATGTGTTTCCACTTTAGAGGTATTATTCTTATTCTGTTACTTTTTTTTTTATTTTTTTCAATTCTTTAGAGTTCTCAGTGTGCTTTGATGTTTATATCTTTGCACCATTTAATAGCAATTCACTAAGCAAAACATACTTACACTGTGAAATTGTGGCTAAATCTAAACATTAATGGTTTACACGTAGAAAGGGATTGAGCACAAAAAATATCATGCTTCTTGCATTCAGCTAGAAGTATTGTTGGATATGGCCACCTTTAGTATTTAAGTTATTTTTCATTATTATCCATTTCATATGTTGATAATATTGGAACCATTTGTTTATTTATTTATTTTGTTTGTTGTGGCGTATAGGGTCATGAAAATGAAGTGAAAAGTGTGTCTTGGAATGCATCAGGTTCTCTTCTTGCGACATGTGGACGAGATAAAACTGTTTGGATTTGGGAAGTTATGCCAGGGAATGAATTTGAGTGTATTCAAGTTTTACTAGGTCATACACAAGATGTGAAAATGGTTCAGTGGCATCCAACTATGGATATTTTGTTTTCTTGTAGCTATGATAACGCAATCAAGGTACTGTATAGGCTAAATGGATCTCTATCTCTTTAAGAAGACCATAGAAATCTTTGATCTTTTTCTAATTCCATTATATGTGATTGAGTTTGTGATGCATTTGCTTTTGTTTGTAGGTTTGGTGGTCAGAGGATGCTGATGGTGATTGGAGCTGTGTACAAACTTTAGGTGAATCTAGCAAGTACTATGCCTAAAACTCTTTCTATATTTGCCATTTTCAGCTCATTTTCTTGTTATTGTACTGCCTGAAATTTAATTTTTCTTTATATAATCCTATGAAGTATTGCAGTGATGTCTTTTAAATTTTATAAGACCTTGAAGATTTTTAGCCCACTGGTTTATGAACTTGCCAGCCTACTGAAAACTCTTGTTTCAATCTTATGTCAGTGGTCACTCTTCCACCTTCCACCGTTTGGTCACTTGCTTTTAATGCTAAGGGAGACAAATTGGTAACTTCTAGGTTTGTATTACAAATTTGTCCTTCCAACCTCCGGTACTTGGAATTACAGTATTTGCTGATGGCATGGCAAACAAAAAACGAGCAGTTGTAAGAAGTAGGGCTAAAATAAGATGAACTGATTTTGCAGTGATGATCTTACCCTGAAGATATGGGAAGCAGACATCATAAGGATGCAATCTGGAGATGGTTATGCACCCTGGTGAGAAACATGCTGCCTCTTTTTTCCATTGAAATTTTCTCATTTGTTTGCTCTTGGTTGTCATATCAAATCCATAGCCTAGACATGTTTGTACATATCAGGACTTAGATGTCCTTGAATCTCGTTTTTCCATTTTTTTAGAACTTTCCCTGGCTATCTGCAATAGTTTGCTTGCACAACTAAAATCAGAGTCGAAAATTCATGGCCTCTGATCTTCATTGAGAAGCTAACAATGCTCACTTTTTTGATGTCAAGAACCTCATTCTTGCTGTGTGAAAACTTAGAAGCATCAAGTCTTAGCCTGGTAGTTGTAGTATTCCTAGCTAAGAATTAATGCCCAAATTATTGTCATTAACATGTATATTCCAAAAATTTTTTGTGAACTGAATAATGAACATATAAGATCCAGTTTACTCATTAATTTTGTTAAGCATATCCAGAAGGTATCGAAACTAACTTGTTCATCATTGATATACATAATATTTCCTTTCTTTTATTCTCGCTTAAGACCTTGTAATGGATAAATATAATGTGCTTCACTTTAATGGTTGTCCAACTCCAGGAATCATCTATGCACTCTCTCAGGTTATCATGATCGAACAATTTTTTCAGTTCACTGGTCAAGGTACTGACACTATTTATTATAGTAACTATTTTAGCCTTGGGGGCTTCTATTGTGCGATCCTTTTATTTTCTCTCTCTAATTGGTTGAAAAGTCCAAATTACAACTAAACTGATTTTATGTTCTTATTGTTGGGAACACGCAAGTGCTTACCTATTTGTTCTTTTCAAAATTTTTTTTCTTAAAAGGAAGAAATTAGATAATAACCCAATTCCCAAAAAAAAGCTGAAGAACAGGTTTAGCTTGATTTGCCTCAATAAGTACCATTTTCCACTGACCAAAAATGTTCCCCTAAAGCTTAAATGTACAAGTGACCTGAACATTCTCCATAGCCATGATCTTGAGGAAATGACTCTTGTGCTGATGGATAACCTCATCACCATGCATATACGTCAACTTTCCTTTTTTCAAGAATTTAGTAGCAACTTTATGAGAAACCGGATGAGAACCTATTCTGGAAGAGTCAAATATCAACTCCCATTTTGAGAATATTTTAAGTGATATAATATAACTGCTGTTTGGCTGAATTAGTGAAGCAAGTTCCATTAACAAATAGTGACTATTTAACATTGTAATTGGTTAGTCTGATTTAGTTAAAATGGGGTTGATTTTGTTGCATTTACAGTTCCACTTTATAAGTTTGAGTTAGGATCATGCAAGAAACAAGTAGCCACTGCCCTCTACTTTTAGTGTTTATTTGCCATCTGAATAACTTTCTTTTCTTTCAAGTTTTGAACTCAAACTGATTGTGTCGGGCTCATGAATTTTACAGAGAGGGAATTATTGCCAGTGGAGCTGCTGATGATGCTGTATGGTTGTTTGTAGAGAGCAAAGATGGTTCGGTATGTAATTCTTTTAGCCTCTCATTCACTGTGCATATTTCCACATGAGCAATAAAACAAGCGTTAGTATTAATGTCCTACCTCTAAGAGAAGGGTGGTTCTGAGTTCTATCCAAAGTAAATGAGCAAATTGTCCTGTTGTGCATATCAATAGTTCTTGGCTGGATAATCGTCCCTCCTACTGTATACATTTTAGGTTTTGAAAGTGGCAATTCAGCAGATTAATCTATTTTTTGGTTTTACTGCAGATGAATGGACCTTCATATCAATTGCTATTGAAGAAGGAGAAGGCCCATGATATGGATGTAAATTCAGTACAATGGGGCCCTGGGGTAAGATTTCCTTTCTTGGAAGTTAACAAGGATTACCATTTGTGGATGCATGCATCTGCACATAAAAGCAGAAATGAATATATATCACAAATCTGGATAATTTCTTTGTGCATGGTAGAGTTTATGCAATTGGGTTCTTTTGTCGTTTTCTGAACTGATGGCCTAATGATTGATTTGTCGGTATTGCTCAAACAAAATGCCTTTGAAATGGTGGCAAAACCATCCAGAAAGGATTCAAAATAGAATATAAGTTGTCATTAAATATCCATTCCATTAGCTCTAGTGTTCTGATCCAAGTTTTAGACTATATTTCCCATCGATTGGGCCATGCATGTTTTCTAAGCAGTGCTCAACTACTATGTTGAACAAGACTTTTTCTATAATTTAACCTTTTTTTTTTAATTACTGCATCTCTCTGTTTATTATCTATAGATTTTTTTTCTTTCAGAACTGTGATATTTGGGGCTTATTTAACCCTGAATTGACTATATGGAAAGCTTATTCTACCTTGTGGTTGTATCTTACGTTGGATTTGTCTCAACTTAATTTAGCTAACATTATCGCTTGCATTGTTATTGAAAATAACAGGAAAAACATCTACTTGCTTCTGCGAGTGATGATGGGACAATAAAGATATGGGAGTTGAAATCTTTGCCCTAATCAAAATTTTGTGAAAGGTTTTTTTATCATACCTTTGAGGTTTCACATATGTATGGTTTGAGTTTCAGAAATTTGTAAGAGTGATTTTGTAACGCTTGTGGCTTTTGAGAAGTCAGGAAATCAAATATTATTTTTTAAGGAAACATGGTTGAAATAATAGTCAAGCAGAATTGCTGTGTATAATTTTGTATAAGCAAATGAAATGCATGATACTATTCTCTTTTAAAAACAGATTTAACCATGCTCTCTCGTCAACTCTGCTTGGAGTGAACAAAGGCAGACTTTTAACTTAAAAGGGTTGTTTCTCGTCCCGCTGGTGAGACAGATCGGGCAGCCAGCTGATTCATGTTAGACACCGGTTGTCTTTTCCGATCTGGTCTAGGACATGAGTTTTAGTAACACAATTGGCCGTGGAAGAATTCCGGGGAAGAAAGAAGTAAGAACAAGTAGAGTAAAACATACAAAAGATTTAATATAATTAACACCTGTTTTCTATTCTAAATCCGCCTGAATTTGCTCTTCTTCCTTCTTCAGCCAAAGCTGCACGAGCTGAAATAATCCCACTGGGAACCAAAGAAGCATCCAATGCAGAACAATCAATCCAATCTTTCAAAAGCTCTTCCTGACCCCATATTTCAGGAATCCAAACCCTGCCTGCCACTTCAATCCTACGCCTCTTCAGTCTCTCTCGTCCATTATGTTCTTCCAACGACTCTTCAACCCTCTTTGCTTCTTTTGTAACCTCAACTACTACTGGAACTGAAGTCCGACGACCCTGTAACGAGCTTCCCTCGTTATTATTAAGTACTCTATCATTTCCATCACTATCATATTGGCAGGTTTCCATCTCTGAACTTCCTGTCTCAACATGGACAACATCGTCAGGCAGCTGACTTTTGTTGGGTTTTTCCGAAAGCTGGGGAGCTCGTTCAACGGCCTGGACAGGATTGTGGTGGGTCATTTTTGTGGGTTCAACGTTCATGAAGTTGAAACCAAAGCCCTTCTTTCTTCTTCTTCTTCTTCTTCTTCTACTGCTTCCTTAGCTGATTCCTTTTGGTTGAAAGAGAAGACTGAAGATTAACATTTACATGGAGAAAGGGTTTGTGTGGGAATAAAAGCAAGAAGAGAATGGGTGGGGAGTTGGTTTACACGCCATCTCTTTCAAAACTTTCAAGTGGGTGTTTTTTCTTCTTTTGTATGGTAAGTGACAAACGTACGTGTGTTGTTCCACAAGATGGCTAGGATTCCATTTTGTGTGGTCTAGTTCCAAGTTTGATAACACCAAAAAGGAATGAAAAAAGAGAGCTTTCAAGAAGAAAAAGAGAGGAAATTTTTGTTTATGATTCCTTGGATTGATTTTTGGAAGGATTGTCAGGTTGATGTTGATTTTGGGTAGAAAATAGAAATCCTTATGGTTTTTGGGATACATTATTATAGCCAATCCCATTGCTAGTTTTGATTTGAGGAAATAAACAAATAAATTTACAAAGAAATATTAATTTTTTTTCATTTAATGAGGTTTAGACTCTTCTAAGATATTTTTTTCCTTGATGTACACCTCAGCTACCCCCTCCCATCCCCCTTTTGCTGTTTGTGGAAGAAATGTTAGTGTTGATTTTTTTGAACAAGTTGTTAGGTGGTTTTAAAAATACCTTATAGCATACAAGAATCACAATAAATATTTTATGGTCATTGCAATCATTTTTAAGAAATAATGTTTAATAAATTTAGAATTTAAATTTTAATATTTATAATTTTTTTATTCATAAATTATGGCATTTTTATAAATAAAATAAAATTCCTCCTTTGTGAAGCTAAAATTAGAGAAGGCAAGAAGTTATCTCTGTCTTTGTTAATTAATGAATGGTAGGCTACTTGTTGCATGTGGGTATGTCTCATAATTTTGGACCTTAGTACTGTCATATCAAACAAGAAAGTTTAACAATATTAAATTTGTCTTGCAAAATCATTTTTAATTACAATGATATAGGTTTTTTTTTTGTGAATGTCTCGTATTTATTAAAAATAAAAAGAGAGAGAAAAGGACAAAAAACCCATGTGGAGTTATGGTTAATGCTCACAAAGTTTTCCAAGGGATGGAGTGTAAAGATGAGGTCATGTGGACTGCTTTGATTGATGGATATGCAATGAATGGTCTTTTTGAGGATGCATTGTTGGCTTACGAGGAATGGATAATGAGGGGATTGCTATTGATAAGTTTGTTCTTTGTAGTACTTTAAGTGCTTGTGCAGCATTAGAGGTTTTAACTTTTGGGAAATGTCTTCATTCAGTTATAGTAAAGAAGGGGTTTGAGTTGGAGATTGCTGTGGGAAATGCTCTACTGATATGTACTCAAAAGTAGGAGATCTGGATAGTGCCTCAAATGTGTTTGGAATTGACTCTGAGTGTAGAAATATTGTGTCTTGTTCTTCGTTGATTAATGGATATGTTGAGATGGATCAAATGAAGGGACGCTTTAAGTGTTTTTGTTGAGCTGCGGAGGCGAGGAATTGAATCTAATGAATTCACTTTCTCAAGTTTGATCAAGGCTTGTGCTAGCCTAGCTGCACTTGAGCAAGGGAAACAGCTTCATGCTCGAGTGATTAAATTCAATTTTGATGGAAACCCTTTTGTTTCTTCAGTTCTTGTTAAAATTTATGGAAAATGCGGATTGCTTGATGATTCTATACGGGTATTTCATGAGATCGAAAATGCAGCTGAAATTGCATGGAATTCAATGTTAAGCGTGTTTGGTCAGCATCGTTTCGGAGAAGATGACATGGAAATATTTAACAGGATGAAGAGCAAAGGAGTGGAACCAAATGCAATAACTTTTGTCAGTCTTTTAAGAGGTTAAGTTGTTTTGATGCTATGGAGAAGACTTATGAAGTGGTGCTTGGAGAAGAGCATTACTCTTGTGTTATTGACTTACTTGGTCGTGCTGGAAAGCTTAAAGAAGCTGAAGATTTTATAAATAAAATGCCATTTAAACCAAATGCCTTTGGATGGTGTTCTTTCCTTGTAGCTTGCAAGATCCATGGTGATAAGGAGAGAGGTAAACTTGCAGCAGAAAAACCGATGCAGCTTGAACCTGAAAATAGTGGAGCTCCTATTTTGCTTTCAAATATTTATGCATTGGAGCAGCAATGGAAAGATGTGAGAACATTGAGGAAGATGATGCAAGATAGTAATGCTAACAAACTACCAGGTTATAGCTGGGTTGATGTTGGAAACAAAACTCATACTTTTGGTATTGAAGTCCGGTGTCATCCTCAAAAGAAAGAAATTTATGAGAAGCTTGATGCTCTTTCAGATTAGACAAAGAAGGCTGGATATGTCCCTTGCACAGATTCCATCCATTGGAGATGGATGTCAGTGTGAAGGAGAAGATACTTCAGCATCACAGTGAGAGAATTGCCATTGCATTTGCACTAATAAGCATGCTAAGTGGAAAGCCCATCATTGTAAAGAAAAATTTAAGGGTCTGCGTGGATTGCCACTCTGCAATTAATTACATATCTAAAGTGATTGGAAGAAAAATTATTGTAAGGGACAACAGCAGATTCCATTATTTCTCAGACGGCTTGTGTTCTTGTGGAGATTTCTGGTAAGGTTTTGCTATCTTGAAGCTTTGCAAACAAATTCAAGCACTTGACCGAGTACTATGCTCAGCCAACGAGTTATAATAACCAGCTGCTCTTGCATTTAATACTGGAGATTGGTGAGGCTATCTGGCAATTATGAGTGAGGACAGCTGAAATCGAAATGATCTTTGCAGCAATGTTTATGAGGAAGATGATTATTAACAAAGAACTGAAAGAAAGCAAAACGTTGTATTAAGCTTACTGAAGATTGCTACTCAAGTAACGCATAAAGTAGAACAAGATGAAGAAAAGGGTTCTCAAAATAAAATTGAAAACTGCTAGATGAGTAAGTAGGAGGAAAGCAGCCAACTAGGAGTAATATAATAAACAAAAACAAAGTTAAAGATTAACGCGAGAAAGACATCTCAGTGATCTATTATTTAATTGCTTATAAAAAAAATTTTGTGCCCAATAAAAAATAAACAGTTCTCAATTGATTCATGTAATTATGCAAGCTACTCAAGTTCTGTTTAAATATGATTTTTAAACACACACTAACCTTAACTTTGAGAAATTCACAGAACTTATTGAATGGGCCGAAGGTGGTTGCTTGCACTGTAAGGAACAAACTATAAAGAATCAACTACTAACATGCTATATTCTCTAACAAGTATAGGCACTAATAGTCCAAAACAGACAACCAGTAACAAAGAGGACTAGTGGAACGAAGCAGGAATCTCAAGTGAAGCATAACTACATCGGTTGAGACACTATGCAGAAAAACCATTTAAGCTTTTGGATAGCGTGATCATCCTTTCTTCTTCAGGAACTCAGGGATGTCGACTGAACCACCTTCACTGAAGGAAGGGCACTGATTGATTCCAAGACCAATATCTCCCTGTGCTAGCTGACCTGCCTGCATTTTAACAGGAATCCAGTTTAAATTGGGGTACGTGAGAGAGAGAGAGAGAGTTGAGCAATACCTGAAGGGGCCTTCCTTCACTTTCTTCTTGACGTTTAAATCCCGTGGCAACTAGGGTTATATTTACCTAAATAGAGACCCAAAATTATGTTTGCCATCAAATTAATGATTCACAGCGAGCACCATGAATTGAAGGTCTGCGCAAACATGACCTTCTTTATTTACCTAAATGAAGAAATAACAGAGAAGACCATCCTGTATCTCTTTCATAATCAATTCAGCAGGTCGCATTAATGTCAATGTGAATTCCGCATCTAAATTTGGCCTTATTCTACGTACCTCTGTATATTTTATCTAACATATCAAGAACTCAAGAATAACAAAACAATCCTTCAGGAAGCAGATATGCAATCCCATTGCCAATCTCATTGATAGATAAGGCTGAGATGGTTTGCTTGTAAACACAAATTAGATACAGGAGAACTATCCACTGACTTAAACACAAAGGCAAGGCATCTCTTACGACCAGCGTGTGGCCTAGAAAGTAAAGTTCATGCATAAAGTCCATCTGTTGCAGGTTTTAATCAATTTTCTGAATGTTTAATTCATCGAATTGCTGTAAGCATATATGCTGCATTAAAACTACAGTTAGACAGTAGGCCTACTCAAAGTATGGTGATCAAGATACAAGTCTGCAGACGACTGTTTCTGAGTCTAAATTTTGGCATGAATACGTTAGAACAAGCATTAACTTACTTGGCCGCTAAGTGATGGATCTATCACTGCTCCAAATATTAAATTGGCTGTTGGATCCACAAGATCACATTTAACCTCAGCTGCAACATTAACCTACAGAAAATTATCAGATGTCAAATGATGCATATGAAAAGAAAAATAAACATGAAGACATATTCTAAAACAAGCGGAACATTCAAGATAATCAAGGTCTCCAGTGTATAATACTTCAGTCACAGTGTACACACAATTTCTGGTTATTGGTGCCTTGGGGGCGGGGGGGGGTGAGTTAACTTTAAGTTGCTGTGAGCAATTGCTAAATGTCCTAAAAAAATTATACATATAGTGTAGATAGCGCATCACTTTTGCATGTTTTCATTGATAAATTAGAAATTCTTGCATTCTTGCAGCTCAAGGGCCAATCGTGCATCAGGACAGAAAAAAATACAACACTGTAGGGACAATCCCACAATCTTGACCAAAAGATACTGAGAAAACAATCGGTCTACAAGAACTCAAACTTTAATTGAAACATATTTCTGAAGTAATCAGTGGCTGGAGGTGCGACATTTCCTACAATTCCTACCAGGTTAGAGACAGAGGGTTACCTCAAGCAAGGTTAAATCACTTCCACCAGTTATGTTCCACACAATTCCAGTAGCCCATCCCATACCAAGATCTAACAAAGGTGATTGGATAGCATTTAGTGCAGCATCTCTTGCCCTTGTTTTCCCTACAAACCAGAAAGAAACAATTAGAACATGATAACCAATTTGGGACCAAAACGCTTGTCAACTCTTCAATTTAAAAACTGAATTACCAACTAATAAACCAGTTTGGCCAAAATAAATTAAGAAACCAGAGCACCATGATGAGAAGGGATCACAGGCCATATGACATGTAAAATTTTGTTTCTTTCAAAATAAAACATCAACATGTACAGCCAATAAAAGGAAAAGGAAAGAAAATGGACAAGATACCATCACTTCTATTTCTGTCAGAGGGAAAAACATAAACAAGAGGTAGAAACTTCATGTATTCATGGTCAAAGCTGTGGCACATTCTCTTCTTAGAGAAAAAAAAAAAAAGACCAATTGGTGCCATCTTTAACATTTCTGAAACATAGGTGAGAAACATGTAACATGATGGTGGGCATGGTTCTCGCATCGTGATATGAACCAGAAGTTAAA